TGAGAGGTCCAATGTGTTCTCCACTGACGAATGGGACATTGGAGAAGCTAAGGGAGTGGAACACCACATACGGCTAAATGACGATACCCCATTCAGAGAAAGGTCTATCGCTTGCTGATTTGAACGACCTTCGATGCCACCTTCAAGGACTTCTGGCAGCAGGGATAATTGTGCTGGCGCGGAAGAAGTCCGGGAAGCTGCGCATGTGTGTGGACTATCGCATGCTGAACCAAAGAACAATCCTTGATCAGTACACAGTGCCACGCATTGATGATGCATTGGACAGTTTGACTGATTGCCAGTGTTGGATTTGCGCAGTGGTTACTGTCAAATCCCTATGGCAGAAGAGGATAAAGAGAAAACCGCCTTCATATGTCCACTGGGATTTTATCAGTTTGAGAGGATATCACAGGAGTCCCGGCAACTTTTCAAAGGCTTATGGAGAAGGAAGTCAGGGACATGCACATGCTTGAGGTCTTAGTGTACTTGGATGATCTGATCATATTCGGAAAAACCCTGGAAGAGCACGAACAAAGACTACTCAAGGTGATAGACAGACTAGAAGAAACAAGTTGCTGGTACCTGATGACCTGCTTTACAGAGTAACTGAGAGACCCCTTGGTACAGAAGTACACCAGCTTGTCCTCCCCAATGGTTTCCATGGTACTCAGATCCCTCCACGATGAGTCTGGGCATCTTGGAGTGGAAAAGACAGTTCAACTCATTAGAGACCGGTTTTACTAGCCTAAGATGGGAGTAGAGGTGGAGCATTATGTCACAAATTGTGACAGATGTGTTGCACGAAAGACACTCCCTCAGAGAGCTGCACCTTTGAACCAGATTACCAGTAAAGGCCCACTCGATCTGGTGTGTATTGATTTTTTGTCACTTGAGATTCCCAGGGAGTTGCAAATGTCCTTGTTGTGACCGATCATTTTAACAGATACGCCCAAGCTTTCCCTGTAAAAGACCAAAAAGCGGCAACAGTAGCAAAGATTCTCTTTGAGCGGTATTTTGTGCACTATGGACTCCCTGCACGGATACATTCGGATCAGGGACGAGATTTTGAAAGTAAACTAATCCGAGATCTCCTGAAAATGTTGGGACTCCGTAAGTCCAGAACATCACCGTACCATCCTCAGGGGGATCCACAACCTGAAAGGCTCAACTATCCATGCTCTATCCATGCTCGGAACTCTGGATCCAAAGCAAAAGCAGAAGTGGAGTCAGCACATCAGTCATTTGGTGCATGCCTACAACCCAGAAACGAGGCAACTGGTTACTCACCTTATCTGCTGATGTTCGGAAGAGAAGCCCACCTACCTGTGGATATATGTTTTGGAGTGTTGAGGAGAGTGAAAGAGTGTAAGAGTGTAACGTACCAGCAGTATATTACTAAGCTGAAAACAGATCTTCACAAAGCCTACCAACTCGCCACAGAAGCTGCTGACAAGAATCACAAGAGGAGCAAGAGAGCACATGATAAGCTGGTAAAAGAACAAGTCTTGGAAGAGGGAGACCGTGTGCTGCTGAGAAACTTTGGTGTCACTGGAAAGCACAAGCTGAAGGATAAGTGGAGGTCAGGGCCCTACATCGTTGTTGGAAAGATGCCAAAGCTTCCAGTCTACCAAGTGAGACCAGAAAGGGGAACAGGAGTTGTAAAAACATTGCACCGCAATCATCTGTTACCCATTGGCTATTTAGTGAGACTGCCTGCACAGAGTGATGAGCCAGAGCTGCCACCGAGGTCTGTGACAAGGACACAGTAGAGACGAGCTCAAAGCTCAACACAGATTGTCCATGACGGAGATGTGTTGCACGAATGGTGAGGATGGGGACCCACTAATACCACTAGCAGTGGAGTGGAGAGATTTTTTGTCACAGCCAGAGTTTTTCACAAGACTGCAAGGTCAAGTCACGGATGAAGTCCAAGTTGTTTCACCAGTCAGAAACCTGGCAGCAGACAACATAAATCAAGAGACTTTTACTGTTCCAGATGTTGATCTGCCTCCCACCACTGACGCAGAAGCAGACAGAGATCTAGAAGGGGGAGCAGATGTAAATGAGGATGAAGTAACTGAAGAAGATAAGCTTCCAGTTGAACGCTCGAAGAGGATAAAGAAACCAGTGGTTAGACTGAGTTATGATGAGTTGGGAAAACCCTCCAACCAGCCTTTACCTGTCCTAAGCCACGGTGTGCTTGTTGGAAGTGGAACCTTCAGAGCTTCAAGACGCTTCCCATGCCAAACAGCCTGGTGCCACCCTATGGCATTGTGTCCAGAGTGTTTTAGTTTCAATCCCTGTCGTCCGTACGAACAGAATTTGTTTCTCTAAACCTTGTAGTTTCATGAGGACATCAAATATTTTAGAAGAGGGAGAGTGTAGCCCTGGGTTTAATAAGTTAGGTTTTGAAGAAAACAACTTAAAACAATATTAACGGCAAACCATGGGAAAGGAAAAACCCACTGATAGTGTTTTCAGTTTGAGCAATGTGTTTCGATTGGTTGCTCTGGGTGTCATTCAGCCCCACCTACGTTAATTGGTCATAGGTGAAAGAGAGGGCGGGGTTAAGAGAAAGAACGGAAAAGAAGCGGGAAGAAAGGGGAACCGCGAAGAAGGGATGAGAGAGAAGAGGGGATATATAAAGAACGCCAGAGAAATGTGAGGGTCGATAGTTTTGTTTTAAATGTTTAGGTTACAGAATAAAACTGTTTAGCTGTTAGACAGCACGGTACATTGTTTGTTGGTCTCAATAGACTGTTCGGAGAGTTTTTGTACAAGTTTTGCTGGATAAACTACAAGTTGCTGAGTCACTGGACGGGAGGACGCGATCGTGGACCGAGACAGACTGTTGGTGTGTTCCTGGTGATTTCACCGCCGTGGCCCTCACCTCCGCTGTCGGCGTGAGTTTGTTTTTGGACGATACTGTTTTTTTCTCAAGGACTGACATTGAAAGGTGGAGTTTTTGGATTTTTTTTAAATTACAAGTAAAAGCCATGACCTAAAAAGTAAAGAAAACTTACATTCAATTTCAGTGGGAACAGCGTTGTTGGTCACCGTTTTTAGCCAGTGCATCAACTTTTTGTGTCAGATTGGTTGTGGCAATTCTCAGAACAGATCTGAGGTGTTCATCAGTTAACTGGGATCTTACACGGCATATTTTTTATCACATTAATGCATATTTTATCATGCACTTACTTATTAAGCAGACATTTTTGACAGTGTTTTTAGTGTAAAGGTTAATGACTGTGGTCTTTTTAGCAATTTGATTCTTTGATGGGATCATGCAGAAAATTATCAGAGCTCTGCTCTGTCATGTCTTTCCTTGTCTCTCCCCCCTGTGTCACGGTGTGGGTACATCTCACTGGAGTCAGGAAACGTATCAGAATACCCTTGTTTTATTGGCTAGAATGCATCACGTGACGTGATTTACAACGTATTGGTCGGTGTTTTTCCTGCACCGCTGAACAAGTGCCGGAAAATGCTGGAAAGGAGCGTGAATAACTCCGCTGCATAAAGCAAAGACCCACTAAAAACGGGTCCGCGACGAACCACCAGTTGAGAATCACTGGTCTACAGGATCGTGACGAGCAGTGAACAGCTGTTTGTGTGGCGTGTCTTCCATCTCTTCCTGTTTCCTTCACCTACATTCCCCTGGGTCCTAAGCCCCTCCAAGTACAGCTTCTTATCACCCTCTATGTACCAACGTACATTTATAACAAATACCACACATATTACACGGTAATCAGCGTTGCATATGTGTCAAACTCTATCCGTGCATCTCAGGTCTGTCTTTGTACATCCTGCATCGCTCTGTTCTGTTCTTTAATGTAACGTTACTGGAGCAACGGAGCCTCTCCAAGCTGTTAGCAGACTGTTGTGCTTGCAAGCAGGCTCGCAAGTGAGCTGTACCCAGGATGCAGTTTGGCGGTGAAATTTTATAAATGTACAATTATTAGTGTTACAAATTGTTTATGTGTCACAAACTGTTGTTGTCATGGCGTTTTGCTCTGTTAAAGAGCGTTAGTTGTGGGTTGTTAATTGTTGTGGTATAAAGTTATGACCATGACTAGGGGTCTCTCTCAATACATATACATAAGAGAAGTAGCTCCGACTGTAGCCCTCATAGCGGCAAAAGATACATTCACATGCCCATGCCTGCCTTAGAGTCAAGTAGAGCACGGAGCCTGTGAGTTGGAACAAAGGTTTTGATATTGCAACCCTAGTTACCCTCTAGTCATTGGGGCCTGGTTCTTCTACGCTGCACACTGAAGAGGGTGTAAAATAGATACTTTCTATCCTTTCTCAGATTATTGAGAGTATTTTTGAGGGATTTATTGCATTGAATTTGTATTTAGAATTTGTAATTGTTTTTAAACAGCACACAACTTTAATAAAAATGGATTAAAGGATGATAATATCTCCAAAACTAAGTGTAAACCAGCACTTTGATTTTTCGCACCAAAAACATCTTCAATTAGTAATTATATTATTGTAGATATCTATGTTTACACTATACATCTATGAATGGTTTTCATCAGTGGTGTAGGTTTTGGCTAAACCCTGTAAGCTCAAACTATTGTGCCATCTGGCTGAAGTTGCCCTTCTCTTGTTTCAGCTCTGTATGCGATAGAGGTTGATCTTTGAGAGAGATGGCTGCCAGGTAAACATTGCTCCACTGAATTGGTTGAGAGAGGCTCATGTCAGACCCATTCAAAAGCAGGATGTGACCAGGGGGGTGTTTGTTTATGAGAGCATTAGATGAAGGGATGAAACTGTATTACTCTCTCCACTGCACGAGCAGAAGTTGAATAGTGTGATGCTAGATTATGCCATTTGGTGTTTGAAGTGAAAACAGAGAGGATGTGCTGGACATTTGTTCACCTGCTGATCCTTACAACACTCAGCTGTCTGTCTTCCGCTGAGGTTAAGACAAAGGGTCTAGTTTCCTGCCCAGACTACCAGAGGGCCTTTGGAGGCTCCTGCTACGAGTTTGTGGATCTCCAGCACAGTTTTATCAGTGCACAGGCTTGGTGCGAGCAGCGCGGTGGACACCTTGCATTTATCCCAGATGAAGAAACACAATATTTCCTTCAGAGACTCTCGGACCCTGAGAAGGATTTGTGGCTTGGACTGGCACCCTCTGCCACTCCAAACCTGCAATATTCTGCGACCCTTGAAGGTAAGAATGTGGAATGTCGCTGTGCTAAATTATAAAATGTGAAAATCTGCTCTCATGCAGCCAAGAAGGGGCATCTTTACCTTTGACGGATGAGTTTAGTTCTGCTTATAACAAAACGGTCATGAGCAAATTACTGGCAGAGTCTAGTCGATTTTAAGGTTTTTTTTGTTGGTGATTTATGGCAAAAATCTTGTAAATTATGGTACATTTGGTACAATTGTCTCCAACTTCTTCTCTGTTTGGACTGTGTCTGATAACAACTATTCTATTGAGATGACATTCTCACTTTCCTCTGTACAATAATTACATAATTCGAACATCATTTATTTTCAACTTAATTTCTGTCCTCTTAGCGGGATATGAACATGACTTAACACAGATATTTTTGCCAGAAGTGAAAAACAAACATTTCCACAAAAGAAAAGCTTCTATTTACAACAGGGGTGTTCGCTCTGTGCATATGTTGTCATCCAAAAATTAAGCAAACAATTAAAAAAATGAACAAAGTCATGGACCGATAAAAAGAGGTCAAATAACTAAACCCAAGTCATGCTAACTTGACATGAACTGTGCATTTATATATATAAATGTACTGTATATACTGTATACTGTATATATTCAGCAGTGGTTTGTTCTATCCTCAGATGCTCTCTATTGGCTGGATGGTTCATATATCACCTATTCAAACTGGGTGAGCAGCCCACAGCCAGGAGCAGCTTGTGGACACACACTAAGAGACTCAGGCTTCCAATGGGAAGCCACAAGAGACTGCAACAAAAAACTGCACTTTATCTGTCAGTTTGGTATGTATTTTGACTCACACTTTAAAAAAACAACCACAACAGCATACTGAAAAAACTTGATGAATTACCACTTGGCATTGCTTTTGTACCTTTCCCAGAGTCTGGGAGATCCATTTTATGTTTAGGTCGAAACACCTCTCTGCAGTGCGGTTCTGGTCAAGTCTTAATGATAGATGGTGGCTTATACGGTCGTAAGAACATTCATTACTGTCGATCCACGCTCGCCCCACCAACAACACCCACAGGACACCAGTGCGGCTGGGTGGATGTTGTAGAATCATTAACAGGTAAAACATCAAATTTAGAATTATTTCCATATCATGTAGTTCTTAATTGTGTTTTCATAATTGATGTATGATAGCTATTCCAGACATGTTAAAGGATCTGATCTACACAATAACCACTATCAGCTTCATAATAGTTCCTCTCATTTTATCTGCTGAGCTCAATAGGAAAAAGAAATCTGAATAGGAAAACAAACACTCATGCCTTATGAAAAGGTTCTGCTTGGATGAAAACTGTGATGAAACTCAATCCACGTTTGAGGGAAGTGATTGCCAGATGTCACAAAGTACATATTGTCGCATTGTACAGACCGGTATTTGCCAAGAATGATTGCCCATTAGGAAATATGGAAGAAAAAAACCCCACACAACAATAGCTTAAAAGCCATAACGATACATCAATGATATCCATCCAGTAAATATTGACTCATGCATTTAACTGACGGCAGAAGCAGTCTTTCCATCCATTCATTGTCCAAACTAGCTCATTCTGTTCAGCTTATTGGGGCACAGGAGCCTTTCCAAGCATGCATCGGGTCAGAGGGAGTGTACATGCTCAGAACTCTATTTGAATTTTGAATTCACCTGATTTTCCTGTACTTCAACAAGCAGGAACCAAGTTCAGACTTGCACATTTAATTACAATGGTCACATGTGCAAAACATTTGTATGACAATAAAACAACACTGTTCATAGCATTGTCTGGCGCTAACGCAACTTACTTCAGTTTTACTTTTGCTCTCAGTATCGTTTCACACTCCAGTCCAGTTGGTTTGCCAAGAAGAAGAAGATGAAGATAACATAAAGAGATAAAAAAGAAACGCATTTTTACTCCAAACTCGTCAAATACTGCCGATTGGTCAGTGCCCCTTGGCATCGACACACTAGGTAGCTTTCTAGCATTAGTTTTCAACGTGTGGCGTGTTTCCTGCTCCATACATGCATGTCCTTTAAAAAAAAACGTCCTTCTTCACAGGAAGGCAACAAAACCACTTAGTTGCATTTAGGAAAAGAACGCGTGCAAAGTTAACTTTACTTTCTAGCAACTTCTAGCAAGTTTCCCACGGGACACAAACACCAGTCTCCTAGACGAAAGTCATGCGTTTGTTTGGGATCCAATGGCAGAATTTGAATGTCGTATTTGTATATTTTATGTATTCTATAACGACCTGAAACTAAGAATCATCGTTTTTTCTTAGAATGAGCCGTTCATATCTACAAAGGGAGCAGGTCCTCTTCACTGAGTCCGCCCTGTTGCACGGCCATGTTTCTACAGTATAGCCCAGAAAGGACAAACCAAGCACTGGCTCTAGAGAGGGTCTTTTTTTGCGTTTTTACGTTATCTAAAACGGCCACCGTAGTTCTCCAACACGCTTGGGAGGGCTGAGCTGAGGGGATTTCAGTTGGATTCAATCTGCAACCTCACTAAATCCTACACACTGCTCATTTAAATGCAGGCCAGTGCACAGACACACAACCACTGCAGACAATTGCTGAGGACCAGCCTTTGATCAGCACCATGGACAGAGATCGTTAGTTTAGGAACTCATATTGTTGCTAGAGTTCTCACAGCACCACTAAAACTGCTTAATATCAAGTAGTTATTTGTAAGACTTTCCATGATGCTATCATCATTGCCGTGTGTTAACAGTAGCTGATAATGCTCTCTGTTTTTTACCCAGCCCACTGCCACGGCCGTCAGGTGTGCCAGATTGCTGAAGTTGTGGGCTCCTTTGGTGAACCCTGTCCTCAGCTGGGGAGCTACCTGTCTGTGGACCACCACTGCAAAGATGGTAAGTGACAGTAATTTTAAGCAATTATAAATGTTCCAAAGGGGAATCACACATTCCATATCTATTAGAAACAGATCTGATTGTTTCCCATCTCACCCTTAATTCACTTTTTTTCCACCTTTAACACATGGTTGAGTTTAAAAGATATTAAGGCTAAATATATACGTTTTGGACCTTGTTTATTTGTTTGACTGGAGTCTGGCTCACCACGCTCAGCCATGGGGAGAGCTACCTTGAGTCACTCCACAGACCCAGAGGAAAAATCACAGGTGTAAATAAGTTATTGAATGCTGGCTGAATTCCATTTCAGTTTCAGGGTCCTGGTATTGTGCATGCTGGTTTACTGTCACACTGTCTTGTCTTATTGGGAAACTTTAATAGCACAGTACCATTGTTAATGTAACCCCTGTGCTAGTCAAAATGTTTGCGGTGAAAAAGGCTGATTTTGCCTAAAAAAATACGCAAGAGGGAACAAACTTATGAAGCAGCAACAAGACTGAGAAGGAGAAAAACATTTAGGAACTTTGATGGTCTCTGATGTTGCCTTGTTGCTGCTGTATAAATATTACATATTTGTAAAAATGGTTAGTTACAGGGACTTTGCTATACATTTCTGGACATTATCTCCTTCCAGGGCTCACACTGTCAATGAGCACTACGGCTGCTGTTTTCGATGATGTCACCATCAGCGTGAAGTGGCTCTTACGTGATCCACATGGAAACCCTAGCTGCAAGATGAGTACAGGAGACGGCCATGTTATTTACCTGCATAGTCCAGAGGGGTGAGTAGTAACATCTATTGAGTGACTGACTATGACTAAGACTCAGCCCGTGAAAACAGTTGTATAATATCTAGCCCCATATGGATGCTTTAGGACAGTGGTTCTCAAACATTTTCTGTCGCTCCCCACTTTGGAGGAAGAAAAATGTTCATGCCCCACCACCCCAACAAAATTGTAACAAAATGGTCCATGTTGAATTTTTATTGAAATAACATATTGTGACTCCTCCGTCTGTGCTTTTTCAAATAATAGAATAAAGAAAATTGCAATCACTTTTAAGTAAACCAGATTGCTCCATCAGACAAAAACAAATAAAATGTGCAAACACTTTGTTAGAACAATGCAAATAAAGCAAAAAATAGCTTATTGCAATTGGCTGCAATTAACCTGTTTTGCACTAAACATCTTTTCAAGATAACAATAAAGTGCAACCTGTGAAAAACTAAACAAAACAAGTTCAAATATTTGGCTATAAAGAGTTTTACATTGCATATGTTTTCAACGTCCAACCTGTGCATATCTCATAAAAATTAGATAGTATCTCATAATAATGAGATACTATCTCATAATAATGAGATACATGTCTCATAACATATCTCATGATGTAGAACTGCAAATGTATGCAGATGACACTGTTGTATATACACATGCAAAAACAGCTGAGTTAGCAGCTGCCAAGCTAACAATTGCGTTGGAAAGGATCATACACTGGCTCGATCAATCATGTCTGACTCTAAATGTAAATAAGACAAAAGGGATGTTTTTTTCTAAAACCATCAGTCAACCTCCTGATGCGAACATTCTTATCAACGGAGAAAGGCTAGAAATAGTCACTGATTTAAAATATCTTGGTGTGATACTCGATCAAAATTTGACATTGAAGAAACATGTAAAAAAAAAATGGTTAAAACTATAAAATACAACCTAGCAAATTTTAGACACATCAGAAACTGTCTCTCCAAATACAGCAAAGATATTTATGCATGCCATGATCCTTTCACATATGTTGCATTACATGTTGGGGGCAGGCTGGTGAAACAGACATAAGACCTCTCGAGTCTTTATATAAGCAAACAATAAAAATTCTGGACAAAAGGCCGTTGCACTTTCACCATTGGAGAAGCATAATCTACTGAGCTTTAACAATTTTAGATTGTTCTCAAATGTGTGCCTGGTCTATAGACTTTTAAATGGTTTGGCCCCTCCTCCACTCCGTGACTTTGTATATACTCGCTCAGCAACTTCTATTAGATCAGCGAGAATATCCTCTACACGAGACTGTACAGTACCATTTCACCGCACTACTTTTGGTCAATCAGCCTTCTCTGTAAAAGCAACACACCAGTGGAACACCCTGCCTGAAGTTGTGAGGAACTGCCAACTTAAAAAGTCTTTTAAAAACTGCACAACACTGCTCACACTGACCTCAATTCTTGTGGTCTTTTCTGACTTGATTTTATTGACACACATACATTTTTGATGTGCTATTTGTGTGTAGCGTTGTATTGGGTGTCTTGTATGTTTTTTGTGGTATATCTCTGTATTAAGTATTTTCATTTTACTGTGTTATTGTCTTGTCCTTGTTTGACCTGCCAAGGGACTGCAGATGCAAATTAGCTTAAGCTATAATCTGGTACAGTGCATAGAATGGAGACATTTATGTTTAAACTGTACATGGTCCCTTTTAAATAAATTCAATAAATAAATAAATTACAGCCCTAGCCAGAGGTCTTGTGAACTGCAAATTCACACATGCGTTTGTGCCTATTAATTACATAGAAAAGTCCAAATATGCCAAGCAAACTGTAAAGTACTAAAGCCTAACAGATGTGCTCTAAGTAAGTTTAATTCTTTTTTATTTTCAGCACTTGGTCATAGTGTTACCAGATTGCACATTGGTTTTGTTTTTTCATGCAGTTCTGCTGAACAATCTAATACATCTCCTCGCAGCATTCATTAAAGGAATACTTCACCCACAGAATGACCATTTGTATATGAAATACTCACCCTGTGGGCTGCACGGTGATGTAGTGGCTAGCACTGTCACCTCACAGCAAGAGGGGCCTGGGTTCGATCCCCGATCCAGGTGGTCCTTCTGTGTGGAGTTTGCATGTTCTCCCCTTAGCAGCGTGGGTTCCCTCCGGGATCTCTGGCTTCCTCCCACAGTTCAAAGACATGCAGCTTAGGTTATTTGGAGACACAAAATTGCCCATAGGTGTGAATGTGAGCATGAATGTTTGTTTGTTGGTGTACCTTGCCTTCGGTCAGCTGGGATCGGCTCCAGCGCCCCGCGACCCTGAATAGGATAATCGGTTTGGAGAATGGATACTCACCCTGTATAAGGGATTCTTGAAGAAAACTTTAGTTTAGTCTCCACAAGGAAAAGTCTTGATGAAATAAATTAAATGGGGGCCGCAACAAGGGCAAAACTATATCAAAATATTATTTTTTTTTATCTTTAATTAGCTCATATCGTCAACCCATACTTCTATGAAATTAGACCAAGTCTTTAAGTATTAATGTGGATATATCTCCTCTTATAATAAGAAAATGACTAATTAAACAGGTTTGTGAGTGATATGCAACCTGTATTACTTCTTTTTTTTCCAGGAAGCAAGAGGAACATACTGTGATCACTGCTAACTGATAACTTTTTCTCAGGTTTGAAAGCAGCGAGGTGCACAAATATACTCATCCAAGCACATTTGTTGTGGCAATTGAATGCACCAGCACGGACATACACATTACAGCTCAGAGCACAATTACCATTCAAGAACCCATCACCGTGTTTGGTGTCATCAGGTGCTATGCTGAGAAACTGACTTTTAATGCAAACAACTGTAAAACCCTTTACAGAGAGCCACTTCAAATTCAAATGGTGGTAAAAGCAGGTAGGTGCCAAATTGACCTGAATATACCATCATTTATCCTGTCCAATTTGATATCCCTGCATCATGTTTTGGTGTTCGTATTTCATTTTCTTATGTTTTTTTGTTTATGTAAATTTTTAAAAGGACAGTTTAGAGCCATATCAGAATTACATATTTTTCCTCTTACCTGTAGTGTTATTTATCGATCTTAATTGTTTTGGTGTGAGTTACATAGTTTTGGAGATGTTGGTTGGAGAGATGCCTGCCTTCTCTTCAATATAATGGGACTATATGGTTTGTGGTGCTCAAACACCAGGAAAACTCAAATGCAATGTGGCTTTCCAGAAATCATGAACAGGTTACTCAAGATAATACACAGACTTTGCTGTGAGCAGTTTTGTGTAAGGAAAATAGTTGAAATAGTTCCTAGTTTTTCAATTGTATTTTTTTGGCGCTTTGAGCACCACAAGCAGAGTGCCATATAGTCCCATTATATTGGAGAGAAGGCAGACATCTCTGCAACCGAAATCTACAAAACTAGGCAACTCACACCAAAACAATCCAGATTAATGAATAGCACTACAGGTAAGAGGAAAAAATATATACATGTTTTTGATTTAGGTGTGAATTATCCCTGTCAATGTATTCCTTTTTCTCTCTTTTCTTTCTGAAGGTACAAATGTGACCTACAGAATCCAGTGTGATGAAACTTTGTTGCTGGGTTTGTCAGTATTTAGAGGAAATGTTCCCCAGAACATCACAGTGACTCCAGAAATGATGAGGCAGCTTGGGCCTGGCTGCCACCAGCTGACACTTTATGCATCTAACATGGTCACATACCCTGAAGTGTCCACAGACCTGCAGGTGAATTAACATCAATCAAGTAGACGTGTCATTTTCTATCAAGAAAGCAATAAGTAACATGATGCAACAACCCTTTATGTTTATGCTCTGATTTGAATAGTGGGGTATGAAGTGTAAGAGTTGAGGTTGACATTTTGATTATTTGATTAAGGAGTTGATTAAGTCGTAAAGGCCTCTCTCAATTAGAAATTTAATTGAACCTTTAATTATAGCATCACCTAATTATTGGATCACCCACTCGTAAAAAACAATCGCTCTATAGTGCTACAAGTGGTCAAAAACTCCAAAAGGTTCCTTTAAGATATCAGTAATTTAGAATTATCAATGGCACAATAAGAAAATACCAAAACAACTTGATGGGTTGCTATTGTTGTTAATAATAATAATAATATAATATTGTTAATTAATCGTTTTCCATCTACCCATAAATAGGTTTCATGCATATATTTTGGGTTGCCAGGTTGTGAGTCTTCATCCTTCACTACACCTGTAGTCAAAGATGACGACCCTAGATCATCAACACCAATAACTATTTACTAATGACTTACTTACTTACTTACTTGTCTAACTGAAGACCTTGATGGCTTGATTGAATGTGTAAACATTTCTCTAACAACTGAGCAACAGGCTAGCAGAGCAGCAGCATCAGTGTGCCATGCGTGTGGATGCGTTCAGGTGCAGCATTAAGTTGTAGATTTTGGCAGCAGTCAGTGCTCGACGCACAAATGCTGTGAATGGAGAGTTAATGTGTTTCTCCGTTTTGTAATTCTTCATGTATTGCAGATGTGCGTGTTGGAGAAAGTAGCCGGGCTTCAGGCCTCTGTGTTGACAGAGGGGGATGATTATCTATACTCTCCAGATATTACTGTTGGTGTTTCTCTGGAACGGGGTGCGTCTGTGCTGCTCCTCTTCTCTCTGACTGGAGACAACAGCTCATACTCTGAGGTCCGAGAAATGAATACAAGCAAGGACATTTTTCGTATTGCACATCCGATTCAAGGTATGGAAGGCATATTCAAAAGTGGGGGCCACATATGATTTGTGAAACACAATCTGAAAAAACACCATTATGGGTATTTGATAAGAGCTGATTATTTGAATGTATGCTTTTCTACAGGACCTTTACATGTGAAACTCAGAGCATGGAACATCTTCTCCTCTTTGGAAGTGGATGTGGATATGTTTGCTTTCTGTGGCAAAGATTCAGTCGCTAAACAAAATATCCATGACGACTTGAGACCGGTCATTTTCTTTTTTCTTTTTATATTCAAATTATTTTATATATAAGGGGAAATAATACTTACTCCTCCAACTCTCAAAATTGTGCTCATAATTAAGTTGATGCCTTTCTTATACTGTATAATTTATAAACCCTTTTGGTAATTTTCTTTTTCAGAGAAAGAAACAAATTAGAGTGGTCAGATCTCCAAAGGACATCATTGCAACACCTTCAAAATCAGTAGCTTCCAAAAATATACCTATCACTCTTTCAACATCCAAACTACCTACCAAGAAGAAACGATACGAGTGGGAATGCAGTAAGAATTGTGCTTTTTCAACTCTTTTTCAACTCAAAGATTAAGTATTAAATGTTTTGTAAGTTTCATATGTATTCATGATAAGTTTCATAGAGTAACGTATTTTGATGTTTTGTTCATGTGTTGATGGTCTGAGCCACAGATTAAGCCCCAACATTATATGTAAATGTCTTTGCTAAACCCCACTACCCTTGTTAGTGTTGCTACATACGCTTTTCAAGCTTTCCATTAATCATGGCAAATTTAAACTTTTTAAACAATGGGTCTTTGATTGCAGACGAACGTAAACTAAAGCAGCTTCCCATTTTTAGACAGCTAGTTGAGCTAACTTTACGACATGAGTTAGTGAAAAACTGGTTCAGGGTGACTTGTTAACAGAGACTCATTAAAACAAGAATCATGTAAAAAAAAAAAAAAAAGGGACTTGATGGCCAAAAGCACGATTGTGTGCTAAAACTGGGGCTAAAGCTGCATGTCCCAGGCAAAAAGTCACCATCCTCACCATATTGATGTAGATTACATGGAAATAAACTGCTTTGTTCATGCATTTTAGTGTTATATTAGTATTAAGTATTGTATTATTGATTGATTTATTGTTCAGTCCTAGTAGCAAGTATGATAAGGATACATCTAATGTAATGTCCAAACCGGGATGCTTAAGTGTACCCCACGTTAATGCACGCACACTTGTACGTGCTTATACATGCACCACCAGGATGGGCGACAGTTGTTTCAGCGCTTAGCACACTTGAAATATCAGCAGATGAAAAATTATAATTTGTCTCTCATAATCCACCAAGACATACTCTATTTGTAGATTGTGACACAGTATTTGTCAATGTGCACACAGGCTGCTGGCTAAATGGTCAACTGTGACACGTTGTCTGCCAACTATTGTATGTTGCTACCTGACCATCTTAATATATTTCATATCGCTACCGAAAAAGTAGGCTACCCTTGCAGTGCCTGCATGACGGCTTAGCGTTAGCGCACTGAGAGGTTCTGTCAGAAACAGCAGCAAGCGTCGTAACAACAATCATTGTCAATGATTTTTGTTCTTGACAAAGTATCTTAACACGTTCACATGAGAGGTATGTAATATCTTTCGATTATGCCAAAAAAGGGAACACATTCTCACGCAAAGCTTGTCAAGAACGGACACTAACAACTGACAAAATGTACTTTTAGTTTTACCTGGGACACGAACACCAGTCTCCTTGACTAAAGTCCCGTGTTTGTTTGACCCATACACCTCAACTTCCACCGTCCTTGTGTGGACTCTCTCACTCTTTACACGACATCAGTTGCTCTGAGAGCATCTGGAATTGATGGTTGTGGGTTTACATTGGAGTTAGTTGAAAGCGCAGTGTGTCTGTATCAGACGCCAAAGGGCACTTACCCTACGTCTGTATTCGATGAGTTGGGATTGAGACCGGGTTGAATAAGGAAGGAAGTGTATATTGCCTCAGGCCAAGCAATACGGTTCATATTTTCCTTTATGTTCCAAATCTGATGCAAGTCATTAATCACAATAAATGTATACAGTAAAAATACACACATAACTATCAGAATTAGTCTTAAATGTTTTATATCAGCATATCAATTGTTATTGCAGTAGAATAATGACTTTCCTTTTTGATTTACAGAGAATCCATGTAAATGCCAAGGACATTTCGAGGGACTGACTTGCACCATCAATAAAACCTGCCTACCAGATCCATTTCATTTTAATAAATATTATTTTAATGTGATAAATCAACAGAAAAAAACAGAGGGGAAAAGTGAATCTATATGCATCACCGTTACCCCTGAGAAGAATTTGCATTGGCTTAGGTAATAGAAACTGATCTGCTGTGATCACTAAGAGCACTCAACCAGTCATTCTCTATACTGTTTGAGATTTTCTTTTTCTAACATTGTGAACACACCCTTCCGTAAATTATAAGATTAAGCAGTGTGCTGAAATTAAATGATTGAATACGGAGTTTAATTAGGTTCTTTTGCATTATTCGCCTATGTTTCACCAGACAGCTTTTGTTTTTTGATGTAAACATTCTAGTTATGTGTTAACCAACTTATCTATGTATTTGTTTCAAACACAGGTTCACTTTTACTGTAGGCTGTGAACCAATAAAGAAGAAGGCTGCAAAAATTAAAATGGGTTGTCTAGAAAAATGTCCAAAAATTGTGTGGAACATTGAGGACCCAAGTGATAAGGACTGGCAAGTAGGTCTGATAAATGAATTGTAAATAGTTTAGGACTGAAAGATTGGCTAATAGTAAATGGTAACAATTTGAATTGACTTCATGAATTTGCATGTCAATTTAGTTACAGGATGATAAGATGAAAGACTGCTACAAAAAGGCAGATACAAGGCCAATTGTACAGAAACAGGATGGTGGAGATCAATACACGGTGGATTATAACACTCTTGCAACTGCCAAATCTAAGCACCACAATGTCATTGTGGTGATAACGTCTGGTAGGTATACATAAGTCAGTGAAATAATGTCAACGCTGCTCAGTGAATTATCTTGCATTGGTCTGTGAACCATTTTTGCATTTATAATACAGAGGTAAATTATTTCTGCTTTCTGATGTATATCCAAGGTGACCTGAGGGATGAAGTTTAATTCATGCAATACAATTAATTCCACATCATGGAAGAACTACCAGTAATATTTTGATTATAAAGGATTTAAATATTGTTGGTCTTAAACTGTTTTTGACTATTTAATCAACTCCAGCGAACCTGTTTTTGCAATAGAGCCCCTTTATTTCTTGATTGCAATACACTACACATTGTCCTTTTCTTTTTATACCAAAGCGGATGTCGAACCTCTTTACAAAAAATACACCATATATACATCATCATCATCTGAAAGTATAGAAGAAAACACAGCAACCACCACTGGTCCTGCCTCGACATCACCTGCCACTAGTGACACCACTACCACCCCCACCACTGCTGGTCCCGCCTCCATAGCTGGCCCTAGTGACACCACTACCACACCTACCACCCCCACCACTGCTGGTCCCGCCTCAACATCACCTGCCAACAGTGACACCACCACCACGCCTACCACCCCCACCACTGCTGGTCCCGCCTCAACATCACCTGCCAACAGTGACACCACCACCACGCCTACCACCCCCACCACTGCTGGTCCTGCCTCCATAACTGGCCCTAGTGACACCACTACCACACCTACCACCGCTAACACCATTGATGTGTCTCCACCATCAACCACCAACAACTTTGACAGCCTTAAGTGTAGCATATCACCCGAGAGTGGAACAATCCTTAATTTTTTCACTATAACGTGCAATACTGAAATTCCTTGCTCTAACTGTCAGTATTGTTTTAAGACTGATAAGGGTGAGTAATCCAGATTAGCAACCACATCTGTGAAAAGAGAACATATTTATCTAGCTTTCAATTATCACATAACCTCTCCCAGTATTCTCCCGGAAATCTATAAATCTAACTTATTGTTTTGTTTTAAAATTGCCAGGTATCCATCTGCGTTGCAGTAATATCAATGAAGTGAAGTCTGTCTTCCTTCCTCTTGGAGACAGTAGTTCCAACTTCAACATGATTATCACAGCAACTGCAAAAAGTGGCAGCTTTGTATGTAGCACCACTATAACTGCAAAGGTTTGTCAAAAATATGATGATTAAAAAAAGTAACAGAACAATAAATGGAAATATGGAAATGCTCAACTTTCCTTTACGCTGTAGGAAGAAAACGGATTTTCTTTCCTCAGGTGATGGATTCCACAGCATCCTCAAGCTCTTCACTAGATGATGTTAAGGCTTCTGTGGAGGATGCTGTGGCTCAGCTGAATAAAGAAGGTCTACTGTCCGGAGAAACTGTGGGACAACTCATCAATTCTGTGTCCAATGAACTGAACAGTCAATCTGATGAATCAAACAAAGCTGACAGGCAAAAGGTAAAGACTCAAACCTAGTGTCATCCCTTGCTGCTTAGAGAACATCCCTCTATTGAGAAGGTTGTTGTCCATGTTGTCCACTGGAGTTTTTTGAACTTTTAAAAGCAAGTGGAGAGAATGTTTTTTATTTCAGTCCGCATCCCAATGCTGTCTAGGGGGGCTGGACATTTTTGTAGGCTCCTGAGTCTACATGAGTCAATGTAGAGCTCAACACTTTGGCTGAAAACCTATTTATTTAATTTGCTGTCAATTAATATCATTCTTATCATTATTACTATTATTATAAATATACTTATTGTTATTATTATTATTTTTTTTTTTACTGATTCTCTTATTTTAGTTATCCTTATGGGTCTCTGTATTTTTAATTCCCTTTACACTTTTTATTTTCAACTTTTATGAATGTATGAAAAGTCGTAGTATCACTATTATTATTATAAATCATACATGTTTTAATGCTTTTGTCTGTTGAAGCTTCGTGAGAAGATGCTGGACATAATGATTGACACAGTAAAAGAGGCTCCGACCAACACTCCAGAAGAAGTTCAGGTGATAGCCAGAGGACTCGCTGCTGTCGTCCAGAAAGGCACTGAGCTCAGCTCCTCTGCTCAGGTACTGTCAAGTGATCCCCACACTGAGTAAAAAAATGACACGATAGGAGGGAGGGAAAAAAACGTCAAGTGCTGCTTTCATTACGGTTTACTGCTTTTTGTTAATGAATTGGAAGGGCAAGGCTGCCTTAGCTCAGCCTTGTACTTTGAATGTGTATTTGAGGCAGGATATTAGAGGTGAGATATCTAATGGTTACGTCTGTCATATGTCTCCCAAACATATGTTTGTGATTACAAGAATTGATTCCTATCTTCAGGAAGAGGCTTCATTACTGCTTGCAAACTTAAGCTCATATCTCCTCCACATGGATGTGAACACAAGTGAAGACAACATGAATGAAATCAATGCCGCAGCCAGCACCATTGTGGAGGGAGCAAGCAATATCCTGGACTATTCTTCCAATGTGAGTGTTTAACCATAGAGCCCATGTTGATGGGATTTACTTCTCCACCCTTTTAAGAGCACTCACAGCATGTAGTGCAAAAACCGGGGCTGGAGTTCACTGATTAATCTGTAGCCTCTAATAGTAAAAATGGACCACATTCCTGTGAAATATGATGTCTATTGCCAACAACTTGGGCTAAAATGTCATCAGGAACATTGAGTTTAGAGACCAGGAGGATGGCCAGTGATTCATCACTTGTCCTGGAATATCCATCTTGTCTGAATGGCAGTCTTAATTAGCAGATGACTGAAAGGAATTGAAACAACCTCTCCCTTGTCATAAATGCTTTGTGTTATCCTTTGCAGAAAAACGTCTCTGATGCCCTTCTCCTTTCTCTGAGCAATACAATGAGTGCACTGTTAGCATTTAAAGATGCCAACAAAGCGCCAACTATCATCCAACAAGCTCATATTGGTGTGTTTGTCAATAGGTAAGTTCTTCTTCAGCCACAAGCTGTGACAGAGATAGATGTAAAGCTATAGTACAAAATTTTAATTTAAAAATGCTTTGAATTGCTTTCTGGTGGAGAGTTAAATTACTAGATATCCCTTTAATGTCTAAAAGGTAAATATAAGACTACAGCCAGCAGCAGGTTGTCGTAGCTTAGCCTGGCTCTACATGAAAGTAGCAACAGCTGCCTGCCAGCACCTCTAAAGCACTAACTAAAAGTTTATTATCAAATAATGGGGGTTTATGTGCCGACCTATAGTTTTTGGCCTGTAGCAGTAACTCCCTGGAATCTCTGCTGGTTGCTAACAGTGATGACAAGACTAATGGAAAGTTACTTCACACAGCCAAAAAAAGTCAGACATTAAAACTTGTTGGTGTTACAAATAGCCTGTTAATTATTGAGTTTTGAAGGTGCTGGCAGGCAGATTGTTTACTTTTAGAAAGAGCCAGGCTACCTATTTCTATTTACTATTTCTTTATACTAAGCTAACCGTTTGTAAACGCTGCCTAAATGTACTTCCCTGGGAAAGAAAAAAAGAAAAAAAAACTTATTATGGGGTGATTTGAATGTAGTCTGTCAGTGGGTTAGTTGCTTTTACCCCCCCAAAAATGAATTGATAAAAAAAAAAATAGAAACGCAGAGACGCGTTTCTGCGTGATTGGGGCCTATACTTCTGGCATGAACATCCACAATTGAAATCATTTGGGTCTGTGCTCAAAACATATAGGGCTAAAGATTGATTGAAAAACACCAGGGATACTAGAGAAGAACACAAACAAACCCTAACCCTAACCCTTAAAACAAAAAGCACAACTGACTAATAACTAACTAAATAGCCAACTAACTTATATGAGTCTCTTTATATCTTCTCCCTCAGAGTGACACTTGGAAGATTAAAGACAGAGGTTATAAAAATTTCCAACAATTCCAGCCCATCATTTTCGCTCCCAACATTACCCTCCAATATATCCCCTTCAGATGAACCAGTGGATGTACGAGTAAGTCAAGGGTGCTGTTGTGTGTATGTGTGTGTATTGTGTGTGCTACGGCTGTCCCCAAATCAGGATTTTCAGTGTCTGTACTTCAAAGTGATGCAATGACTCACTCGTCGTCTTTGGTATATTAGTATATTCATTTGTTTTAATTTGTTCTTTTTATATATCAAGTTGCCTTAAGGGGCTTCATTGGTTCATGCTTTTTTAATCTATATTTTTTTGTGTTTATAAACACTCAATTTTATTATTGATGGATTTTCTTGTTGGCAATGCACCCTACCTACAGATAAATAAAATATGTTCTCCACTGCCTGCCCAGTCAGCTACTTAACTGTAGCCAACATTATTCAAATGTTTTACATTTAAGATAAATCTTTTAAGGCCTTTGTCATCAAAACATGGGTCATCTATGATGTGCAAATGCCAATACCTGGTCACAATTGAGCAATTGAAGCTTGTTGGATGCATGTTAGATCCCATGTTTTTCAAATTTTTTTAAAGTGTCTACCTGCTTATGGTGATTGAACTTTGGTCTTTGAATACATTTATAGATGCTGAGTTTAGACAAAAACCCTTTTTCCTGGAATGAGAGAGGGAACATCAGTGGCCAAATAGGTGCTCTCTCCCTTACAAGAAAAGATGGCGCCAGTATCCCTGTGGAAAACCTGAGCGAGGATATTAAGGTCAGTGCAGGTTACAAGGTTAGTTTATTGTTATTGTACAACACAGGGTTGGGCAACAAAATGCATTTTGTAGTTCCATACATTATATATGAAAAAAATATAAAAGCAAAGCTATATTATACAGTATGGTGGAGGATGAATTAAGGAATATCACAGTGTGAGGAAAGAAGTTCCTCTAAAGTCTGGTGGTACGGCAGCTAATATTTCTGTATCACTTGCCAGATGGCAGCAGAGTGATCAAGCTGTGGCGGCAGTGGCAATTGTCTTTTAATATTATTTGAGTTCTTCGCAGGCAGCTCTTCTCACCAATATCACTGATGCTCAGTAGATTGGTACCAATGATGTTTTGGGCTGTTTTAATCACCCGCTGTAGAGCCCCCCTGTCCTGGGCAGTGCACATCCCATGTCAGTTTGTAATGTTTTCAGTTCTATACCATGCTTGCCTGTTGAGAACATGTTTACTGTGGGCACAGATATATACCTTCTTTTAAGAAAAACAGACTTCAAAGGATCATCCATCCATTCGCGATGGCAGCAGTCTTAACGGGGTATTCCAGGTGTCCCTCTCAACAGCAATGTTTTCCAGCTTTTCTTAGGGTACCGTGAGGCATTCCCAGGCCAGAAAAAATATATAATCCCCCTAGCATGTCTTGGGTCTACCAGGAGGACCAGGAGGCATCCTGATCAGAAGCCCAAACCATATCAGCTCCATACTAAGGAAGATCAATTTGGCCATCTGTATCCGTGATCTCACTCTTTCGGTCACTAAAACCAATTATTTTATGCAGAGATTATTTTTCTGCTGCACATTTCACACGAGGACAACTGATACACACTTTGGTACTCAAACTTAACAAAATTTGGTTCCAAATTTCCTCTCATCCTTACAGACATATTTCACGTTAGCTTTTTCATGTATTTTATGTAAACTTTTTTGAACTCCATCTAGAGTGTTTATCAGATTTGTTTTAAATTTGGTTGCTATAATCCTCCGACTAATTTGATGATACATTGCAGGCAGTAGACGAACAATGATGTCATAGGTCATATTACAATACGCCATTTTAGGCACAACGTTTTTTAAACTCCTCCTAGAGGATTCAACAGATCCATCTCAAATTTGGTCAGCAGAATCTCAAGACCCTCACAATGCCAAATTGTCAAGCTTTTGACTTTACATTGTCCACTCTGGCCTAAATTCCACAGGCTGTGGAATTCTGTGTTCCATATAGTGGACACAGAAAGTGGTAATACATTTGCAATGGAATATTTCCAGTTCCACGCACCCCAAAAATGAAATAACATCAAACTTGTGCACGCAATAACCTATGGTCATGGAAATGCACCATGACCAATGTCCAGCCAGTACCCCCCACGTGGATGAATGTGCGAAGGTCTGTTCATTGCTGCCTGCAGCTTAAATGCTAACTGTAACTTGTACCATGGCAACAACTGTGTAGATGTTATTGGGATTTCAATCAGGAGAGACTTGTTTTATAATTTAACAATGATTTATTATACATGGATCAAATATGAAAAGTGCAAAGTCTTTGGCGATTGGACTCCATCCTGAAGTACTATCACCGAGGGTGGGGATACTGAGGTCCAATAGGCCTAATCCCCCCTGGAGTCCAGACACTGGTGGTGGTGGTGAAAGGAGTTGCTGCAATCTGATGATGATCTGCTTTGCTGAAATGACAACTGCCAGCAGCAGAGAGGATAACATTATTTAAAGTTTGACAGCAACAATATGATTGGCTTCAGGAACCGGTGTGCAGAATCTGGTTGGTTACTTAAAAGTGCACGCCCCCAATCAGCTGATAGAGTAATTACAAGGAGAGGAGAGACAGAGATTATGAGTGAGTGTCTTCCTGACTGAACTTGCGCTTGAGCTACATATATCTTCTGGCCTGTTGCTTGGTCCACAGATTCTTATACCAAGGCCTGTAGGAGAGCAGGTGAACACCTCTTTTCTGGACCTGGGGAACTACAGCACAACGGTCATAAACGTTCCTTCAGCCGATACTACGCTGGTGTTAAAGGTCCAGTAAGATGTTTTAATTTCCACTTCTGAGATGTATAATGAGCACTTTAATAACACATTTCATATCCCCTTTGGTCTACTTTGACACTATGAATAGTTTTGTCAAATTGGCTGTTTTACTAGCAAGACAGTCTTAGTACAGCCATCACAATTGCTAATGCCATAAATGATTCTACCGTTAATAATTATATTTTTGTTAATTATGCCATTTTTTTCTTAAGATTTGTTACTTATCTTAATATCATGGTGCTAAATATCAGAACATTTTCGAAATACTGTAAATAAATCCAGAATATAATTGCTGTTCTACTTTGTTTAAAATTATGATTGTTGTATTTCTTTTTCTGGATGATCCAATATTTGCAAAGAGAATTTTACTGCAACTATGTTGCTATTATGTTTAAAGATGGTGCCTTCAAGTGATCCATTACCCTTCAAACTGTTTCTTGGTCATATGGACTACCCCACTGAAACAAATAATGTTGCGATGACAGAGATGCCTCACCAGGGAGCAACACAAGGTAATATATGTTTTTGATTAGTGATGGAGAGTTTTAAACTTGCATGCCTTTTAAATTATTGAAACATTACTTGAGTACTTGTGTGTTTAACTTATACAGAGGAAAGATACACTTGGCTACTAGACCCTAAGGATTTAAAGGGAAACAATGGAGTGCACTATCTTGTAGTGAGGCCCATTGTAGGTCCGGGAATAAAATCCATCAATGCCAGTTTGTCCATTACCTCCTTCACTGCCGCATGTAAATTTTGGGATGAATCAATATTGGAGTGGAGCCCTTTTGGATGTAGGGTAAGTACAGTAATTCAATCGGCCTGTCATGTGTAACATGTTTCCCAGACAATAATGACAGTTAATATTGTCTCCACCTGAACAAGGTTGGTGTTCAGACCACACATTCAGTCACCCAGTGCCTCTGCAACCACCTCTCCTTCTTTGGGGGCTCTTTCTTCGTCACTCCCAACCTTGTCGACGCGTCACGCACCGCTGAGCTGTTTGGGACTTTTGCTGAAAATCCTGTGGTCGTCTGCTTTGTGGGGTCACTCTTTGCGGCCTATCTATTGGTGGTCGTGTGGGCACGACGAAAAGACATTCAAGACACTGCCAAGGTACTGTATATGTCCAGCACCAGAGTATAATTCATTTATCCTAAATGTAATCCCACTTACAAAAAAGTATCGTAAAAAAACCAATGCCTTATGTTGTTGGCTGGTTGGCAGGTGAAGGTAACTGTGCTGGAGGATAACGACCCCAGAGACGAGTACCGCTACCTGTTGAGTGTCAGCACTGGGCATCGGAGAGGAGCCTTCACTTCCTCCCAGGTTAATATATTATCAGTTCATAGCAAATAGTTGAACGGTTACATTTGGCAGAAAAGGCACTGCTCTTGCATTCTTGTTGGCATTTGTCATACTTGTCATACTTGAAAGAAGAGTGAGATCGTCTGCATAGTCTAGATCTTCAAGTGATGAAAAGATGTCCATCGAATGCCTCTATTTTGGTCTTCAGTTGTTTGTCTCATTACCCAGTCAATAGTAATATTGAAGAGCAAAGCTGACATCACACATCCTTGTCTCACACCTGTTTTTACTTGGAATTTTTGGAGACTGTTGGAGACAACCCTGCATGTGAAGTTGGTATAAAAACTTTGGATCACATGAACTATATCTTCAGGGATCCCATAATGCCACAATATATGCCAAAGGCTTTCACGATGAATGGAGTCAAATGCTTTTTCAAAGTCAACAAAGTTTATATACAGTTCCCTCTGCCACTCTGTGCACTGCTCTATGATGTTACGTAACGTGAATATGTGATCGTTGCAACCTCTACCCTTTCTGAAACCTGCCTGTTATTTTCGGAGATGTTGGTCTACAGCATCTGTTATTCGATTAATAATAATCTTTGACATGATCTTACTCAGTATTGACAGAAGTGTAATTCCATGCCAGTTGTTACAATTTCTTAGAGAACTTTTCTTTGGTAATTTGATGATGATCCCCTCTGACTAGTCATCCGGTATTTTCTTATTCTCCCATATAGACATAAAAAGTGGTTGAAGAATTGTAGCTGCCAGATTCGGGTCTGCTTTGAAGATCTCTGCTGATTGATGGATGGATGTTATGATACTTTTGATTGAAATTGGTTGGTACTGGCTTACATAAGCATATGTCCAATTTTGTATAGTAGTAAGAAAAATATTTATATAAAATTCAAAACTATTGATTTTTTTGTTTGCATAAAATTGTTAAATAGGTGACTGGGGGTGTGATCTAAAAGGGTTAAAAGAGCATTTTTCATTTGTAATCTCAAATTTAACAGCTAATGAGCTAGATATTTCCATTAGGGGCAAATTCAGAGAGCTAAATAATAGTAAATATTGGAATTTTTGTAAAATGGTGAAAGGTAATGTAAACAAATATATGTTAATGTTGCTAACATGTTAGCCATAACAATGCCGTTGATATTATCTCTTGTGTTGTGTTTTCAGCTTGGCCAAAAAAAAAACAACACATTTATAACAGCTCTGTTCAATAAGACATTCCAGTTTTAACTCACGGGTTGTTTTATTTATTTTTTTCATCAGCAGATCATTGAAGCCTTTTAACTTTCTATTTTGCTTTGGTTTTGGTTTGGTTCTCTTATAATCAATTTGAAAGAATATCTTGAATGTCATCCATTCATTTTGAGAAAATGTTTTTGTAACATTGTATGTTGCATCACTCATTTTCATCAAATTAACAAAATTTTACTCTTAATGGCCTATTGAAGGCAAGATATAATTTCCATTTGTGTGTACACCACACAAATTCTCCTAAACTTTGCTGATGACATTTCCTGCCACTTAATGAAATAATTATCCTTATTTGTCATTTCCTTGATTTTTTATTTAATCGCACTAAATTATTGTGTTTCAATATTTGTGAAAGCTTCCTGTTCTTTATTAGTTAAAGTGGACATCTTACTGATTGCAACACTAGCCCCACCCCTCCATTACCGTACATCAGTGGCGGGCTATGCATTTTATACCTGGGCCTTCACTTGCTGTGCTGCAGCTGAAATACCACCTTATAACCACATGATGGCGCCACAGCTATTATTCGTATCAAAGGCTGTGACTATGTACGTAATCATATTAAACCGTTCGGTACGAGGTTAACAAACCGAACAATATGTTTGAAAAAAGCTAGTGCATTTGGAGAATACAAAAGCTTAAATTGAGGGTAATATAATGTTTTCTGCCCTCATGTAGGACAGTGGTTCTCAACTGGTTTGGCTGTGGGACCCACCATCGTCCCTTAAAGACAAGCTGCAACCCATTCATTTATTTAGGAGAACATCATATGGTTTACTTTCACAACATACATATTACATGTACTGCTCTGCTATCTCTTTCCTCATCTCAGCCCCCTGTGTCACGGTGTGTGTACATCTCACTCGAGCCAGGAAACTTGTCAGAATGCCCATATTTGATTGGCTGAACTGCATCACGTGATGTGATTCACAACGCATTGGTCGGTGTTTTTCCTGCACCGCTGAACAAGTGCCGTAAATGCTGGAATAACTTCGCTGCATAAAAAATAACCTCCATGATAAAAGCACAAGTTTTTTTAGTTTTTTTTGTCAGTCAAAGGTCTGCGACCCACTGAAAGCGGGTCTGCGACCCATCAGTTGAGAATCATAGATGTAGGAGACAATGTGTGTGACCTCTGAACCGGAAGAAAAGAAACGCACAACAAAAAACAGCTGGGGCTCAGCAAGTGTTCTGGGAGGCTACGCTAACTAGGTTAACGGGAAAGCAACACGCATTCTGCTACACACTCAAGGGCACGGGCCACTCAGATATTAGATGTAAAAAAACAAACGCAGTTGACTTACCATGCTCCATGCTCCTTTCTTCGTTGACAAAGAGTTTCATCCCAGTTAAATCCCAACTCACAAATCCGTTTCTCCTCCTCCTTTTAACAGCCATTGACTGTTAAAAAAACAAAGCTAGGTAAAAATAATAATAATCTACACCAGAGGTAGCCAACACGGTGCCCGCGGGCACCCTGTCGCCTGCAGGGACCACGTGAGTCGCCCACAAGGCATGTTCTAAAAAATAGCACTAGTCACCATGGAGCTCCGTCTAAAATTGTAGTTGCTGTTCTTTTTTAATCAAAAAACGCTTGCATTAGTGTAGATTTTAAAATGACAATATTTCTTGTCATAAGAGAGTTGGGTACCCGGAGGCACACGGCGGACAGCCAGGACGAGGCCGCCGCACTAGGTTTTCAGGTTCCGAATGGCGGGCGCTTCCCGTTGGAGCCAGACGCGTGCCGCGAGCGCACCCCGTCGTCAGGTCCGTAAATCCTTGGAACAGGCCTCGGGGCAACAACTCAGGGGTGGCGGGGGTAGAGTCGAGGCAACGCAATCCAACCGAAAAGGCCCAGACTAGAGGTTTGAACGCGGGCGCCCGAAGACGCTCGCGCGCCTCGGAGGGTTGGATCCCCCGTTCGGCTATAGACGAGACTTTTTACTAGTTTCTTCGTGGAGAAAAAGGTACCATTGGAAAAGCTGGTGTCGGTGATAACAGACGGGGCTCCCACGATGATGGGCCGGCATGCAGGCTTCATTGCGCAATGCAAAGGTGACCCAGACTTCGCAAAATTTCTACATTACCACTGGATCATTCATCAGCAGGCGCTATGTGCAAAAGTAACCGGCTTTGATCATGTGATGATACAAAAATATCAGAGATATACGGTACCTCTGACTTTCAAATGTTGAAACAGATTAACAGAAATAAAGTTGCATGTTTAAATATATATGCGTAGCTATACCATCATTGTTGTGGAAATCATTATTAATAATTATTGTGAGGAATAATTAACTGACGTGATCAAACAGTCTCTTCACATATATTATTATTATTAAAAGGTGATCTGTGCAACTTTGTTATTTAGGAAGTTTGTATCAAATAAGTATCCCTTCGTACTACTCGACACCCTTGAAGTAGCTCTCAGTTTAAAAAAGGTTGGTGACCCCTGATCTACACCAAGCAAAATGCAAAAAATCTCATAATTTCTTCCATATCTTTCAATTTGAACTCTCACTACTGCGACTAAGCCTTTACTGTTAAGTTGTGGTTCACGATAGTCACGTGCTCGCCCACTGACCAATCACAGCACACGCTGCACCTCAATGCAGAGCTGCACATGGAAATTGAGCTTCATGTAATGATGACGTAGCTGTAGGCCAGCTAGCAGGCTATGACACGTCAAAGAATACGCCCAACATGTCAAACTAAAGATCTGATTGGTTGAACACTTGACAATCAACAATATCTTCCCCATTCACTTAAACTGCAAAGGGATTCACTTGTGAGTCTGCAGGCCTCGGGCCTCTCTTCTTACCTAGAGACACAGGGGTGAAAACTGATTGGATAAAAGCTCTACTTAAAACAAGCTGTGCTGGATGCAGAGCAACTGAGGGAGATAGTAGCTGTGCAATGAGAAAATAAGATAATGGGAAAAATATTTTTATAAATTACAATACATATAGTGTATTTAAGAAAAAATATTAAATTATAAAATAGCTATAACGTTGTGATTCTGTTTAGGCCAGCAGAGAAGGCCTTGCAGGCCCTGACGGCCCACCACTGCCGTACATACATGTCGGCAAATTGGTTATATATCTTTTTGGAATTGTCAGTTTTGAAATACAGAGTACTAAACTGTTTCAGGTGACGATCACTCTGCTGGGTGCAGAGGGAAACAGTGAACCGCATCACCTGGCTGATGCAAAGAAATGTGTGTTTGAGAGAGGTGCGGTGGATGTCTTCCTGCTAACTACACCCTTATCCCTGGGAGACCTGCAGGGCATCAGACTGTGGCACAACAACTCAGGAAGCCATCCTGCTTGGTAAGCAATTACAGAAATGTAACCCCAAATAACCATCATCAAAATGTATGTATCTTTTATCTCATTACAGGCTATTAAACATGAGCCATGGCTTTTCCTCTAGTGTAGTCAATATGATCTAGAACACTGTGAACACACAATACAATAAATACAATATGGCTTGTTTTACTATTACCCTGATGTTGCAGATGATTACTTGCTCTTCTTTTCAGTTGTAATTTTCTCATATTTCTGTTCAGCAAACAATGTTGTCATTTCATAGTACTATCTCAAGGCTACCTTATATGTAATTTAAAAGTTGTAACAGCCCTTCCATTTTCACAATTTTTCTTTTTTTTCTCAGGTATGTTGGCAATGTCATGGTTCATGATATACAGACAGAGCAGAAATGGCATTTTTTATGCAACTCCTGGCTGGCCATAGACATAGGTGATTGTTCCCTCGATAAAGTTGTACCTGTTTCAACAGAGATGGATTTGAAGAGGTTCAGGTAAGTTAAAATAGGGAGCAAAATTGTACTCACAAACACACCATTGAAGTCTGAATGTGATACCCAAACAGAGATAATAATAATGATGAGATGATCAAATAGAGACAAGTAAAGTACGGCAATATTTTTAAAAAGCAACCGTAACCCGGTTTGTCCAGGAATTTAAATTCTTTTTTTCTTACAGTTTTGCTAAGTACAAAATAAACCGTAAATGAGCCATTGAAGGCTCATTTGTAGTATACTTGTTCACATCAGTGAACAGCTACACTCACTGAGCTAAGTAGGCCACAGTACAGTATGTTTTGTATTTATTATTTGGTTGCAGAATGATGAATAATTAATTTGAATTAAACAAAAGTAAACTGCGTGGGCAGCGAAGAAATGACTGAAAAGAGATTAAAATCCTAATTCCTCACTAATTGGTTGCTCATGAAGGTTTGACTTTCTTTTGTTCCCCCTCTTTGCTTTTGTTTTTCAGTAACTTGTTCTTTATGAAGACTACAAAGGATTTCAATGACGGACACCTCTGGTACTCTGTGATCAATCGACCTCCGAACAGCAACTTCACTTGTGTTCAGAGAGTTTCCTGCTGTTTTACACTGCTGCTCTGCACCATGCTGACCAGCATGATGTTTTATGGCATCCCAACAGATCCCTCGGAGCAGACCATGGACCTCGGTACAACACATATCCATAACGAGGAAATTTATTTAAAAAAATAAAAATACTTTTTAGAATTTTTAATTCTTATATTTATTAAAGCAATTTGACTAAATTAAAACAATACTAACTCATTTAATTCAATGAAACACTTAATTCAAATTTAACATTTTGTAAAAGACAAATTTTTGTTCGGATGATGAAGTGATAATACATATAACACTTTCAAAGTTTCATTCAAAAACTTCAAAAGAAACTTTAAATGTTAAAGTAATTGGCATTGGGAACAGCCCTGATTTTAAGACAAAATACATATTCATGAATTTGTGGATGACAAAAACAGTGTCTTATCTCTGTCTCTCGCTATGTGTTTTTTTCAGGTCATTTTGAGTTTAGCTGGCAACAGTTCATGATCGGAGTTCAGAGTTCCCTCATCATGTTTCCCATAAATATCCTTATTGTTAGCATCTTCAGAAACACTCGTCCTCGGGAGACGTCTTGTTGCAAGCGAAAAACCAAAAACCCAGATGCCCTCGAGCAGAATTCGTTCTCACAGACTACCACCACCAACACAAATGTCAATGTCACTTTAGACACAGTCATCGAGGTAGGTGCTTAATGTTTTTCATGCGGTGGGTAGCTATTTAAAGTGTTTGCCTTGAATATTTAAGCACACAAATTATATATAAATATTTTATGACAACCCTTGTGCATGTTCCAAAAAAGTGATGGAACATAAATAATTTAAAATTCTTATATTTGCATATGTACTGTATGTAATCATACATATATAAAAAAGAAAAACCTTGGCATTTGAAAATTTTCTTTCTCAGGATATCTCAAGAATTGCCCATTCTCTGTCAAAGACTGTTAAAAGCAACATACCGAGCATAGAGTCTGAGTTTGGGCCTGGACAACAAGTTGATATCAATGCTGTTCTCTCCATGGTGGAGGACTTCATCAAACCGAATAACAAAACCCCTGACGCTGCCCAGCCCAAAACGCAGAGCTTTGGCAACCTTGTTCAGCCTCAGCTACCAGGTGTGTACCTGCTGTGGATGGTAGATACTGTGACATTGTATAGACTTTATTTGGTATAGTGCACTTCATTAAGATACAATGTCGAGAGAAAAAAGGAGAGAGGTTGAAGGGAAGTAACAAAAGGAACCAAAGTTTATGGTGAGTTCAGAAACTTCGGTCATAAGTTTAGCTCATCACAAACACACAGGCACACTCCCATACATACGGTTGGGGCATCTGTTGCTAGTTAGCATAGAGCTAACATGCAGTTAGCTAGTAACCTCTTAGTAACCTCTAACCTCTACGTTGACTGAGTATATAATTTATTAAAAAAACGTTTATACATGCAACATGCCTACAGTTTTTATAACTGACGCCAATAAAAAGTTATACACAGTTTAACAAAATTCTGCACATTTTCAGAGGGCAGTCCTGGGTCAACAGTGGAGGGGATTCAAAAGAAGAGCAACAAAACCCAATATCTGTACCGGCAGCTGTGTCACATTGACAAAGAGCTTAGTCTGCTGGGACCCTCCGGCTTCCCCAACCCACACAGCTACAGCCAGGCTCTGCAACAGGTCCAGGGCATCAAGGGCTTACTTGAAAATCAGCTCTTCACAGTCAGCTGTGTCAACCCAGATGAACTCACTGAGAAGAAGTACAGAAGAGACTAATAAAAAAAAACACACGGGTGGATTTGCATGTGTTATGCCGTGTTCACACCAAATGTGCATCGTATTCGCGTCATTCGCCCCGGGCACTATTTGTGTTCATTTGCGTGAATCGCGCTGGAGAGTGGGCGTGGCTTATCGCCCTGAAAGCCGTTCAACTGTCCGCCATCAACCATGGAAAAAATAACCTCAATTTCTGCTTAGTACGTGTTGTGGAAGTCACAGATTGTACATAGATATATATACGCCGTCATGTCTGGGTTCATAACATAGTTCAGAGGAGCTCCGTGGATTTTATCGAGGTGTATTCACTGTGTCTAGCAAAGCCACACGTCGCTGTTTAATACAGCTGTATGAACACAAAATAAACTGATTTGGCTGTGATTTAACGGCAATAAACCGACAAAAAGGGACTCCGAAATAACTACGTAATGATGCCGATTTGTACTTGTCTTCTCAATGGAGCTCGGATCGATCGGTGCTAGGCTATGCTAACGTTGTAGCAGCTCCACCAACACAGAATAACGTCATCTAGACATAAATACGGCAGCGTCTATTCATTGTTTGTACCATATGGTTTACACACACACATTTATACACATAGTTTGGTCCGGTCTTGATATGAGGTATCGTAGAGCTCTGGGTGAACACAGATGGCTACAGTATTTATTTCCTGATTCAACAACGGCAGGACGTCAGTGATGACAGGAGAAACATCTCAATGCTGATAGGCTATCGTGCCACAGCGTCACACCATTTTTTCGCCGAAGTTGAAATATTTCAACTCACGCGTTTGGGACTATTTGCCGTTTGACACGAATTTGCGTCAATCGCACTGCGCCATCGGAAATTCGCGTCACTCCAGTCTCATCACGTCTGTGCATAGACTTTGTATGTAATCTACTCACGCGAATAATTCGCGCCGCGTTTGGTGTGAACGCACCATTAGCCCGTTATCTACAAGTTGTATATTTATTTTTGAATTGCTCACCTTTTTGTTTATTTCATGTTCATCTTTTTTCTTATTCCATCATAGTTATTTGTTAAACAAACAAAAAAATGCAGTTGCTAATGATAACCACTTTGGAGAAAGTTGCTGCTGATAAGTATTGTATTTACAAATAATGAATAAAATGGTCCCTGCCCACAACTGTGACAAAATTTGAGATTAATAGAACATTTTCAAAACTCTTAAATTCTGGCTTGTACTACCTATTATTCATGTCACTGCAAATTGATTTTCTTTCTGTCAAAATGACAGGAATCCAATTGCAGATTGGGCAGTGAGTTTGGAAAATGACTGGCAGTAATTTTGAAAGGAAACGGTCAACATTTTGGGAAATGGGCTTATTCACTTTCTTGCCAAGAGTTTGATGAGAGTATCAATACCACTTCAAAGTCTTTAAGCTAGAGTTAGGAGATGGTTAGCTTAGCTTGGCAACGGGAAAAAAAACTTGCCTGGCTATGTCAAAAGTTTTAACAATTTGCCTACCAACACTATTAACCAAGACACCCTCCGTAAAACCACAACTTTATCTTTGTTTTTGCAACGATTACACAAAAAAGTGAAAGGTGGATTTTGTTATGCAAGCTATTTCTGCCCGTTTACAGTCTTTATGCTAAGCTAAGCTAACCAGCTACAGCTTCATACTGAGTATACAAACATGAGAGCGAGAGACTGATCTCAGTAGCATCAAGAAAGTGATTAGGCCTATTTTCCAAAATGTCGAAGTATTCATTAAGGAATACACATCTGTAGATAATGGGCTGAAACTTACAAAACCATAATGTGGTATGGTGTAATCATTTTAAGAAGTATTTTATTCTGTCAGTTACTCATGTAAAATGCAGTACTTGCACTTCAAAAGAAAGCTGTATTTGAGTGAATGGTATTCTTTCAATTGCAGGTTGAGCCCTGCAGACAGCACAGATGGCGATGGTAGTCAGAAGAAAAGGGTGTGCTGTCATGGAGGGCTACCCTGGTGGTTTCTGTTTGTGGGCTGGCTGCTAGTGATCGCAAGCAGTTTTGTATCGGGATATTACACGATGCTTTATGGGTTGAAATTCGGGAAGGAACGCTCTGTGAGCTGGTTGGTGTCCATGATTGTTTCCTTTTTTCAGAGTGTCCTCGTCATTCAGCCATTGAAGGTCAGAATAAGTTGGCTTTCTCTCTTCATACATCACTCGTAGCTCAGTATTTCCAATATAAGTAATTCTTTATGTTTTAGAAAACTTAATTTCATAATATTTTCATATATATTCATACAGAGATCATACTTTATGAGCACATGCCAGATATTCGAATTGGAAAAAAACTAAAACAAATTAGTCACCATTCACTGTGATTCATGCCTTTTACCACAGGTGCTATGTCTTGCAGTCTTCTTTGCACTTGTAATAAAGAAAGTTGATGAGGAAGATTTCCAAAATGTGGAGTTTGAAGGAAATCTAGGTAAAAAACACTCCCAAAATACACTTCATTGGTCTCAAATGTTGACTCATTCATTATCAGAACAAACAAATACCTCTACAGGTAAGGACAAACAAATGGTCAGACGGGATCGCAGTCTCTATGAGCCTCCTCCTGCTGCAGACATTGAGAAGATGAGAAGGAAACAGATTATGGAACAGAAAGCCTTTGCCCTCCTCAAAGATATCTTGAGTAAGTATAAAACACTGTTCTATGGCCATAAATCAAAGTATATGAATCATTTATTGTATTAATGCCATCCAAATAAATCTTTCACAGTCATTCATAGGCTATAGTATATGAAGCAAACATAGAATCCACACTGTATTTTAACTTTTCCTTCAGTGTGCAAATTCACACTTCACAAGAGCTAGCTCAAAGTTCAGTTCACACAGATTAAAATATTATTTAAAATAATGCTTAATGATGAATGAATTCCATTTAGCTGGGTCCAGTTCAAGGTCATCAAGCAAATTCTTCATATTTGGGGTCATGTATTCATTGTTCTTGAACCCCAAATACTAAACCAAATACAGTATTTTTATCTTCATTTTAAATTATAGACAATAATATACAACAAAATATTTACTTTGACTTAATTTGGAGTCATTGTCTTGAAAATAGTTTAACTCTTTCTAGTGCATGCTTAATATGCATTGTTCTGTAGCGGTGAATATCACAGCAAAAAAATAATCCTCAAAAGTTTCAACATCTGCTTTGATGAACTCTAATGCGCCCTTTTGTTGCAGCCTACATGGGGTTTATGTGGATGTTGCTGCTGGTGGCGTACGGCCAGAGAGATCCCAATGCTTTTTTCCTGAACCGTCACATCCAGGATAGCTTCAGCGGCAAGATCTCAGACAGCATGAGTCTTGGAGATGTGTTCACTTGGGCCAACACATCGCTATTAAGTAACCTTTTTGGAGTTTATCCAGGTAAGACTGTATCCCTCATGAAGAGGAAAAACCCTGTTGTGGCAATCTTAGTAACCAAATGACTCTGTGTCAGAGCTGCAAAGAAAGATGTGTGGTTTTAGCAGAGTTTTTCTGAATTATTATTACATTACATTACAGTCATTTAGCAGATGCTTTTATCCAAAGCGACTTACAATAAGTGTATTCAACATCAGTTTTTGAGAGAACTAGTCACCAGAAGTCATAAGTGCATCACCTTTCTTCAAACAAGCATCTAAGAGCATAAACCAGAGCCAACGTACAGTGCAGAAACAAACTAATGCAATAAGTGCCACAAACTAATATGAATACAATAAGTGCAATAAGCTAGTATGAATACAATAGATGCTAAGTAAGTGCTAAATGGAAGGCTAAGGGTAGGCCTTCTTGAAGAGGTGAGTTTTCAGCCTGCGCCAAAAGATGGGCAGCGACTCCGCTGTCCTGACGTCAGTGGGGAGTTCATTTCACCACTGAGTGGCTAGGACAGAAAACAGCCGCGACCGGGTCGATCGGCCGTAGGGACCTCTGAGCGACGGGGCAACCAATTGCCCCGAGGCAGCAGAGCGAAGAGGTTGGGCGGGGGTGTAAGGCTTGACCATGGCCTGGAGATAGGAAGGAGCTGTTCCTTTCACTGCCCTGTAGGCTAGCACCAGAGTCTTAAACTGGATGCGAGCTCTTACAGGTAGCCAGTGTAGAGAACGGAGAAGGGAAGTTGTGTGGGAGAACTTGGGGCGATTGAACACCAGGCGAGCTGCAGCTTTCTGGACAAGTTCCAAAGGTCTGGTGGCCGATGCCACCAGACCTTTGCGGCTGTCTCAGTCGAGTGACCCACTTTGAACCCGGACTGGTTGGGGTCCAAGAGGTTGTTTTGGTGGAGATAGGAAGACAGTTGAGTACAGACAGCACGTTCAAGTGTTTTGGAAAGAAAGGGTAGAAGAGAAACCAGTCTGAAGTTCTTGACATCAGAGGGGTCAAGTGATGGTTTTTTTCAGAAGGGGGTGACTCTGGCAGTCTTGAAAGCCGTGGGAAAGCATCCTAAAACAAGGAATTTGTTGATGAGGTGGGTGAGGAAAGGAAGGAGTTCAATCGCAATACACTGAAGAAGAGGGGAGGGGATCGGGTCAAGGGAGCACGTGGTAGGGCGATTAGATGTAACAAGGTCGAGGACCTTGTTAAGGGAGAGGGGAGCAAGATAGGGTAAGATGGGGCATGGAGAGGGTGAGGATGACACTGAGAGAGTGAGGGAGAGGATGGACATGGACCGGGGGGCTGAGAGAAGGAGGACCTGATATCGTTTACCTTCTTGTCAAAGAAGTTGGCGAAATCGTCAGGGAGAAGGGAGGAAGTAGGAGGAGGGGGTGGGGGTTGGAGGAGTGAAGAGAAAGTTTCGAAGAGTTTTTTAGGATTGGAAGCAGAGGTTAGGATTTTGGAGCGGAAGAACGCTGCTTTAGCAGTAGAAAGAGTGGTGGAAAAAGTGGAAAGAAGAGCTTGGAAGTTAAGAAGGTCCCCTGGGAGTTTGCCTTTTCTCCATTTTTGCTCAGCCTCTCTTAGGCTCCGTCTGTCAGTATGCACTGAGTCCGACAGCCATGGAGCAGGTGGATTTGGCCGTGCAGGCCTGGAGGTGAAGGGACAGAGGTTGTCCAGAGAAGCGGAAAGGGTGGAGAGAAGGTCAGTAGCAGTATCAGGGGATAGGAGAGAGAAGGATTCTGGGTCAGGGAGAGCAGAGGTAACAGAAGAGGAAAGATCAGCCGGGGAGAGTGATCAAAGATGACTACGGGTAGAAACCATGTGGGTAGGTGGAGGAAGTATGGGGGGAGAGGAGAGGGAAAGGGAGTAAGACATGAAATAGTGGTCAGAGAGCTGGAGGGGAGTGACAGAGAGGTTAGCAGTAGAACAGTGTCTAGTGAAGATAAGATCCAGCTGGTTGCCGGCCTTGTGGGTAGGAGGAGAAGAGGAGTGGTAAAGGTCGAAGCAGGAGAGGAAGGAAAGAAGAGGTTCTAATTTATCAGTCTGGATGTTAAAGTCGCTGAGCAGGATGAGTGCTGAGCCATCATCATGGAAGTGCGAGACTAATGTGTCGAGATCTTCCAAGAACTCACCAAGAGTGGGCGATACACAACAGCAATGGTGAGCTTGACCGGATAAGTGACAGTAACCGCATGAAATTCGAAAGAGGACGGGGAGAACTGAGGAACCGAGACAAGAGTGTATTTCCATTTTGGGGAGAGTAGCAGGCCAGTACCACCACCCCGCTTCGCAGTTCTAGGAGTGTGAGAGAAAGAGTACACTTCTGACAGAACTGCAGGTGTGGTGGTATTTTCTGGCGTGATCCAGGTCTCAGTTAGAGCAAGAAAGCTGAGGGAGAGCAAGGAAGTGTAGCCCAAGATAAACTCAGCTTTCGGCACTGCCGACTGGCAATTCCAGAGCACCCCTGCCACCACTCGCTCAACATGGGCTGAGACAGTAGGATAAATGAGGTTGTTGGGGTCTCGGCACCTGGGAGGGGCCCAACGTCTATCTGACCACCGAGCAGAGGAGCGGACCGAAATCGGATGCAAACACATGGTTTGACAAATAAAAACGTGGTAACTATACGTTCGAGAAGTCTTAGCTTAACGAAGTCGGGCTTGAAAAAGTCACCCTGTTGCCTTTGTTCGCCCTAGCCTTTGTTTGCCCCAGCCAAGAATAAAATGCTTATCAAATCCTGGGTGAGTCAGAAGTTCAGTTGTTGCTCCAGAAATGAATACAGTCTGAAGCAAAAGTAACAAATCATGCTAATTATATTATGTATTATTACAATTATGTATAATTATATTACAAAAGCAGTGATTCAACAATTTACACTGCCTTGTGTCAAAGCAGCTTTTTTTTTTTGTAATATACAGGATTGTAACTAGAGAGGATATGAAGAAAAAAAACAACAATGTCAAAGGTTGTTTCTGTTGCAGTACGATTTTATTGTCTCGTTTGTTTATGGTACGGTATGCATCTTTTCAGTAGTAAGTACTGTTTTAGGGTCAGGGCTATATTAGACAGTTGGATTGTGTAAAGTCCTTTGGTAGAGTAACTCCAGAGAGAGCATTTAACAATTTGAGCCCAGACATAATTAATTTGCATACAAAAAAACACTGTTACTTTTACACAATACCAAATGGACAGGAAGCCACCCAACTCAATGAGTTATTTTGACAGAGTGTTATCTTTTTGATTATTGTTGGGTTATGGTATATTTGTGAATGGTAAAAATCTACTCTGCAATTTTTAAACTTACACGTCATGATTTGTTACTGATTGTTAACAGTATGTGTATCATTTGCAGTTTTGAAAAGACTGCAAATTTGCTACAGCTAGAAGTCCTGCTGTACATACATTGCATCGGTTGCACTGTATTTCAACATAACAATGTTTAAATACCATGCAGACAGTGTATGGATCCAGCCTGATCCATAGCCCGTGATTCATTTTAGATTCAAACCAATTTTCTGCCAGATAGGTTGTTGTTTTCAGTGACGTCTGATCAATTGCCTGAATGATCCAATTTCCCACATGGCTGTTGTGTCTGTAGTGAGCTTGCTTGATAATTAGTGAAGTAGTATTTTTCTATTTTTACTAATAATAATTATGTGAGTTTTATGCTTAAACTGGAGCTTGTTAGAAAATAACCATATTTTAGTTTGGCTAAATAAGCCAACATTAATATAAAAAACACTGGATCAAAACGTTGGTCAATCCATTGGTACTGGGTAATGTTAGCCCAGAATTTCACAAGAGCTATAATGTCCCAAATTGACTCAGTGGTGTTTTTCTTTGTTCTGAACTGCAATCATCTACATTCAACTTTATCTCAAAGAAATGTGTGAAATGATCACAACCAGTCCACCATGACAAAGGATTGGCATAATTTCAGAGTTTGACGTGTCATTTTAAAACTTTTTGTGCATCACTACCTGGTAAAAAAATTAGCTGTTAACAGATGGTGGTCATTCCAAGTATTACTGTGAGATCAGGCTGTCCACAATACAATCACAAGTGACAAATAGTCTCCAGAGTTGTGAATATATTGCACACAAATGCAAACAGACCCTTGCTGAAAATCATTTTCCAGTTGAAACACCCCTTAAATGAACTTTGGCTCAGACCCGGCTAACTGGTCAAAATAGTTAAACGTACAGAGAGCCCACACAAAATGCCTGAGAAAAACACGAACTGATAAAATGCTTTTTTCCAGGATACATCACGGATGGAAACTCCAAGCTAGTGGGTAATGCCCGTCTTCGTCAATTGAGAGTGCAGAGGAACTCCTGTGAGATTGCAGGCCCTATGCTCCAGTTGGCACCAGACTGTAACGCTCCATTTTCCTGGGAGGTGGAGGACATGGGCTCCTATGACACTGGCTGGAATCACTCTGTGAGGGATAATATATCTACGAGCGCATCCAGCCCGTGGACCTACCAGACACAGTCTCAGCTCAGGGCTTATCCCATCTGGGGCAAAATGGTGCTCTACAGGGGAGGTGGCTATGTAGCGGAGCTCGGCCCGGATTCACAAAATGCCAGCAGGTATGCACATTAGCAAAATGGAATGCATCTTTCCTTTTTCATGTTGGACTGTGGGTTTAAAGTATCCTCAATGGACTAAGGTTAGGTGACCTATTTATCAATCAATATACATGTATTTACATTGAAAAGATAGAGATGTAAAAAGCTTGAGTAGAATACTATTATAAGAAAAGTGCAACACAGATGGAGGCCTTCAGTAAAAATATCTTGTCTACTTCTTCTGCAGCACCCTTGAGTACCTGTTCAGGAATACATGGCTGGACGTTTACACGAGGGCGGTCTTTGTAGAGTTCACCGTTTATAATGCTAATGTGAACCTCTTCTGTATTGTCACACTCTTGCTAGAGACCACAGTTGTGGGTAAGTTTGAGTGTTTCCTTTGCAATCACGGCAGATGTGGTGCAGATTTGTCAAAGTTGCAATGAGTAAGATCTGACCACGTGCTCCAAACGAACAGCGGCGGCATTTGACCCAGCGAATGCAAGATAACTGCTAAATGGAGGTATGTCTGTCTCCTGGGGTGGCGGGTAGGAGGAAACGAAAAGCTAGCTTGTTAGCATGCTCATTTGAGCAGATATCTCTGCAACACAATAAAGAACATAAGGTACATTAGTAACATTTGTAGCGTGAACGGATCCCGCCCCGGGTAAAGCGGGACAGGCTTGCGCACCTAACACGGTGGTTACTCCTGAGGGTTGTCTTTCCCGCGTCAGTTAGTTTCCTCACGGAGGTATCAGAACAATACCGTAGGCCTTTTATCTCACACCGTAGCTGAATCGTTAGGATTTCGGAATTAATTGTCTTCCTGAGAGTCTTGTACGGCTACGCCCTAGGCGCTCTCAGTAGGATGTAACCCTAACACCCAGTATGAATTTCTCACCATTTTATGACTAACACTGCCAAGTCTTCACCCAGGGTACTCACCTTTAAGTTCCTCTGGTAGAGTCAGTCGTCACCTCTGTATCACACTGATGAGGGACAGGGGAAGAGAGTCAAATTGCTCTAAAAAACCAGAGTCTCTAGTTTGGGTCCAGTCACTTGCAAATTGTAAGGCTGTGGTTTTATTAAAGTTTTTCCAAAGCAATCACATAAAACAATTTAAATTCAATGAAACAATCTCAGTGGTATAAAAACTAATGCTGACATCCCTGCTTGTTTTCAGGGTCTCTCAGTCAGCTCTCACTGTGAGTTTTTTCTTTTTTCTTCTTTTTCATGCTGTCTTCTCTCCCATCTCTGAATGGGACAGCAGAAGGGTGTTCTACTCCCCGCTCAGGGGGCAAGACCCCTAAGGGTCTATTAAGTAAGTCTCTCCCAGTATCTACGCTGGGGAAAAAGGAAGGGGCAAAAAGGGCTAAAAGGCATATCTCAGTTTTTCTGCTTCTTTATGCTACTCTGATTCTAGTACCTCCTCTAATCACATGCGTCACAAATACAGGAGGCATATTGTACCAGAGTTAGCAACAGAATGTAACTGGTTGTAACTGGTTTTGTCCGGATAGAACCAAAGCACTATTCAAGGCTAAAATGACTGTTAGAAAAATATAGCCTGCTTAGACACTTTATCTATCACTTCTATCATGAAATAAAACAGTTTATATTTTAAATCACATCTAATGTGAAATAAAACATTTTATGTTAAATCACATCTAATATGAAATAAAACAATTCATGTTAAATCACACTTATCATGAGATAAAACAGTTTATATTTTACAATGGTTATAAAAAGTGTAAACAAGTTATATATTGTGATGATTATAAAGACAAACAAGCTATATGTTGTGATGGTTATAAAAAGTCCATCCATCCATCCATTTTCCTCCGCTTATCCGGGGTCGGGTCGCGGTGGCAGCAGGCCAAGCAGGCTGACCCAGACTTCCCTCTCCCCCGCAATATTTTCCAGCTCATTCTGAGGGATCCCGAGGCGTTCCCAGGCCAGCTGGGAGATATAATCCCTCCAGCGTGTTCTGGGTCTTCCCCTGGGTCTCTTCCCAGTTGGACGTGCCTGGAAAACCTCCAATGGGAGGCGTCCAGGAGGCATCCTAATTAGATGCCCGAACCACCTCAGCTGACTCCTTTCGACGCAAAGGAGTAGCGGCTCAACCCCAAGTTCCCTCCTGATGTCCGAGCTCCTTACCCTATCTCTAAGGCTGAGCCCGGCCACCGTACGGAGGAAACTCATTTCGGCCCAGTGAATGCTGGAGGTCACAATCCGAGGAGGACCACATCATCTGCAAACTGCAGAGAGGAGATCCCGAGACCCCAAAACCTGATGCTGCGCCTAGATATCCTGTCCATGAAAGTCACAAACAGGACCGGTGACAAAGGGCAGCCCTGGCGGAGGCCAACACCCACCAGGAACGTGTCTGACTTATTGCAGAGAATGCGGACACAGCTCCTACTGCAGTCTTACAGAGATCGGATGGCCCGTTGTAACGGGTCAAGCACCCCCCACAAGAACCGCCGAGGGACCCGATCGAAAGCCTTCTCCAAGTCCACAAAGCACATGTTGGGCAAACTCCCAGAACCCCTCCAGTAGTCTTGCGAGGGTAAAGAGCTGGTCCACGGCCGGGATGGAATCCGCATTGCTCCTCTTGAATCTGAGGTTCCACAAACGATCGGAGCCTCCTTTCCAGCACCCTGGCATAAGCCTTCTGCGGGAGGCTGAGTAGTGTGATACCACGGTAATTCGAGCACACTCTCCGGTCCCCCGGGACCACCACCCCGGTCTGCCAATCCCCGACCCCCATGCGACATTCAAGAGGCGTGTCAGCCAAGACATCCCAACCATGTCCAGCGCCTTCAGCATCTCAGGGCGGATCTCATCCACCCCCGGCGCCAAGGAGCTTTTTAACTACCTTAGCGGGTGAGGCCCCCCCCCCCCCCCCAGGTCTTCAGGTGCTGCAGAGAACATGTTGGTCGGGTTTAGGAGTTCCTCAAAGTGCTCTTTCCACCACCCGACGATGTCCCCCATCCGGATCAGCAGTCCCCCCGGCTGAGAACAGCCTGGGGTAGGCCCTGCTTTCCCTTGCTGAGCTGTTGGATGGTTTGCCATAACCTCCTTGAGGCCAACCGAAAGTCCTTCTCCATGGCCTCCCCGAACTCCCCCCATGCCCGAGTTTTAGCATCCGCGAGCACCGCAGCTGCAGCCCTTCTGGCCTGCCGGTACCTCTCAGCTGCTTCAGGAGACCCCTGGGCCAACCAGGCCTTAAAGGTCTCCTTCTTCAGCTTGACGGCTTCCCTCACCTCCGGTGTCCACCACCAGGTTCTCGGGTTACCACCACGACAGGCACCAATGACCTTCCGGCCACAGCTCCTAGCGGCCGCGTCCACAATAGAGGCTTTGAACATGGTCCATGTCCCCAACCTCCCTAGGGATGTGTGAGAAGTTCTTCCGGAGGTGGGAGTTAAAGACCTCCCGGACAGGGTCCTCCGCCAGACGTTCCCTGTCCACCCTCACTATACGTTTGGGCTTGCCGGGTCTTTCCAACCGGTTCCCCCGCCATCTGATCCAACTCACCACCAGGTGGTGATCAGTTGACCAAGACATACGGCCGCAGATCAGATGATACGATTACAAAGTCGATCATTGATCTCCGGCCTAAGGTGTTCTGGTACCAGGTACACTTATGAGCCACCTTATGTTCGAACATGGTGTTCGTTATGGCCAAACCGTGGCTAGCACAGAAGTCCAATAACGAGACACCACTCGGGTTCAGATCGGGCAAGCCGTTCCTCCCAATCACCCCCCACCAGGTTTCCTCCGTCATTGCCCACGTGAGCGTTGAAGTCCCCCAGGAGAACTATGGAGTCGGCAGGCGGCGCCCTTTCCAGGACCCCTCCCACCGACTCCAAGAAGGCCGAATACTCTGAATTGCTGTTTGGTGCATAAGCACAAACCACAGTCAGAGCCTTGCTCCCCGCAACCCGTAGGCACATGGAGGCGACCCTCTCGTTCTCCGGGGAGAACTCCAACACAGTGGCGCTCAGCCGGGGGCTCGTGAGTATCCCCACTCCTGCCCGGCGCCTCTCACCTTGGGCAACTCTGGAAAAGGACAAAGTCCAACCCCTCTCCAGGATCTTGGTTCTAGAGCCGGTGCTGTGTGTGGAGGTGAGTCCAATTATATCTAGCTGGTATCGCTCCACCTCCTGCTCCGGCTCTTTCCCCGCTAGTGAGGTGACGTTCCACGTCCCTAGAGCTAGTCTATGCTGCTGGCGATTGGCTCGCCCAGGCCTCCGGCCTGACCCGCCGCCCGGTCTGCATTGCACCCGACCCCGATGCTTGTCCCTGTGGCTAGTGGGTCCACAGGGTGGCTGCTCCATGTTGTTTCTTCGGGCTGAGCCCGACCGGGCCCCATGGGTGAAGGCCAGGCCACCAGACACTCGCCGACGAGCTCCCCTCCTGGGTCTGGCTCCAGGAGGGTGCCCCGGTTTCCCTGGTCCGGGCAAGGTGGCTGAAGACCGTGGGCTGCTTATCATCAGGGTCATTTTGAACCGCTCTTAGTCTGGGCTCTCCCCTGAGACTCATTTGCCTTGGGAGATCCTACCAGGGGCTACTGCCCCGGACAACATAGCTCCCAGGATCACTGAGCCACTCCACCACGTTTAGGTGGCGATTCGCGGAGGTTATAAAAGTAAACTTATATGTTGTGACAGTCATAAAAAGTGAACAAAATATATGTTTGTGATGGTTATACTTTTACGTTTTCATATTTTTCTACAATCTCTCAACACAGTTCACCGCAAGATCAAAAATACAAGTTTTTCTTCTTACCTGTTTTGGTGTGAACGGGACGATAGGGAACTTGCTCAACTCGCCGAAGGAATACATTTGACAAAACTCTCTTTCCAGAAATCATGACGCGGTTACTCAAGATAATCCACAGACCTTGTTGTGATCTTCATGTTCCGACATGAAAACTGCTCATTCAACATGTACTTTTGACTATGGGGTGAACTGGCCCTTTAAACTAAAATTCTTGCCAGATCTTACACATTGCAGCTTTAAAGAGGATGTGTAATGTCATTGTAACACCAATCTGTGCTTCTCATACCAATCTGATTGGATTTTGTTGCTTCTTACAATTTAACTGTATTTTTCCGCCTTCACATTGATATACAGTACCCTATGTAAATGAAATCATGCTAGTCTGCATGTGTTTAAACAATGTTGTTCCTGTTGATTTTATAGGAGCATTTCAGTTGCACAGTGAGCTGCAGAGTGTTCGTCTTTACCAATCAACTGGGGGTCTTCACATCTTCGTTATGGCTGCTGAGATCATATACTTGCTTTTCATCCTCTATTACATGTTCATGCAGGTACACACTAACATAGCTATTAGAACATATGCAGACAGGGCTCATTATTCTGTTCACTTAAACCCTGTCACCCTTTTTGGATTGAAGATGTTTGAAGAGATCTTCTTTTGTTTGTTTTACTACAGTTTTTTCTCCCTTATGGAACTAATGGAAATAAACAATTGTCACGCACACAAACTGGCTCCATTACATTTGACAATCCTCTCTCTTCTCTGTTTCTGGCAGGGCAAATTGATGAAGCAGCAGCGCTGGGCTTACTTCAGGAGCAAGTGGAACCTTCTCGAGCTGACTATCATCTCACTGAGCTGGAGTGCAGTGGCTGTCTTCATGAAGAGGACCCTGCTCGGGGACCGCGATATGACCTACTACCAGAACCACAAGGACCAGTGAGACCAACATACACTGTGCTATACCTTAGCTTTGATTTTGAAGGGCGTGCAAAAACAAGTGTCAAGCCAACACCTTCACAAGTGTAGAAGATGTGCAGTGGGCTTCATATTGTGGTTAGGTGTTTGCTTTTAGCCATGCTAGTAGCTATGGCCATGCAATTTTGTACAGACATTCATGGTCCCCAGAGGATTAATCCAGATAAACCAACAACTCACAGATACGTAGATAGATCGACGTTAGGATGGTTTAGTGATAATTAGCAAATATGCTAACATGCCTGAACATGGTTTTCTTGGTAAACATTGTCTACGCAACAGCATTTTAGCATTTCACTGTTCATGCTGTTTCACAGCATGCTAATGTTATCGTTTAGCTCAAAGCACTGATGTGCCTAAGCAGGGTATAGTCTATGAGAGCTGCTAGTATAGCTGTAGACTCTTTGTTCACTCTAAAGTCTGTTTGCGTAATCTATTGCTGTATATCTCCTACTGTAAATTACAGTGGTCTTTGACAGTGCTCTATTTCTCCTGTTTGTGATAGTTTAAATCTTTCCTGTGTGCGTAGATTTGCCAGTTTTTACGAGACAGCCACAGCAGACTCAGTGCTCCAGTATCTGATCGCCTTCCTGGTCCTTCTCGCCACCTTTAAACTGTGGCACCTGCTCAGACTGAACCCCAAGATGAACCTGATCACTGCAGCACTGCAGCGGGCTTGGAATGATATATCTAGCTTTCTTGTGGTCATTGTGATCATGTTTGTGGCGTATTCCATTGCCGTAAGTGTCTTGCCCATTTACCAAGACCTTCCCCTTTTTCAAAGATCTAGGTCATTGGGGCTTGATTTTGAGATTTGATTTTTCAAAAAACTTTAATTATATTGTATTTTAAAGTTGTCTTGTATCTTGCGGGATATGTTGCTCAATTAAGGCACTTTTAGAAAAGTGAGTAAATTTCACTAAAACTTTAAATTAAATTTAACAGGGAGAATAGAGTAACAGGTACAGTAAAATAAATTTTACGTTCCACCCTGCTAAAGGGTATATAGGGATTCAGATATTTTAAATGTGTGTGTGTATATTGGGGTTATTGTGTAGTGATGTGTTGGTGCCTCAGTTAGGATGTATTAAATATATCTACAAATTTTAATGTTGTAATTTACAGTATTTGTTGTCTATAGTTAAAATGGCAATATATGATTAGTGAATGAAAAACGAATGACCTAATCTCAATCCATTAACTCCAAAATGATCTATTTATTACTGTAAAGCTGAAGGCTTTATCGAGAGAAAATATGTTCGTGGTTCCTCTGATCTCTTTCTAGTGCAATGTGATTTATGGCTGGAAGATGTCCTCATACAGAACTTTAGCAGATGCTCTCGTGACCGTCATCAGTTTGCAGATAGGCATCTTCAACTATGACGAAGTAAGTGAGCTCTTCCCCAACTCACATATTATATGTAAAATACTTTATGGAGGAATAATAGGGTTATAATGCAGAATCTCTAACCAATATCCATGTGCATGAAGAAGGTTCCTCATCAGCTCAAACTGATATTGATGTCTCACTTGTTTGCCAGGTCATGGACTACAACCCTGTGCTTGGTGGATTACTATTTGGTTCCTGTATTGTGTTTATGACATTCGTGGTGCTCAATCTTTTCCTCTCAGTGATCCTGGTGGCATTCAAACAGGAACAAATACATCACAAGGTAACATTCATCACAAGTCATTTTGAGCAACTAATCCAGGGTTTTAGAACAAATTTTAAGTCTAATTGAAATTATTTTGATGCAGATACAGCATATCGTTTCAGGCATACAGTATACTGTACAATGTTTCGGGTAATACGCCAGTGAGGGGTTTCCCAAGAACCCTGTTTGCAAGATTAATATCAGAGTTGATCAAATAATTTTAATGGAAGTAACATCAATCTCAATTCTAGCATTGTGGCTAAGTGGAGAGCAGGGCCGTCCTTCAATCAGAGGATCGGCGGTTTGTTCCCCGGCTCCGCTAGTCGCATGCCGATGTGTCCTTGAGCAAGACACTTAACCCCAAAATTGCTCCCGTAGCTATGCCTACGTGTATGAATGTGATAGAATCTGAATTGTAAGTCGCTTTGGATAAAAGCGTCTGCTAAATGACTGTAATGTAATGTAATGTAGCAAAAAAAACGTTTCAGCATAGAAGCATACTGGGTGTGTAAGGAGGCAACTGTTAGCGTCTCTAAAAGGTGACGATATATCAGAGTCAAGTTTAAAGCTTTGTTCGCTGCTACCAAGTGGTAGAAGCTTTCGTTATTAATTGTTAATAGGTAATATACAGTGCAGCTCAAAAGCAAAGACGGCGTGTAAACAAAATTCGAACAAGCCACTACCACAGACCTTATTAGACTACCTGAGCAACAACAATGCCAAAGTAGTTCTGGATCAATCATATTGTTGCTGCTGCAAATAAATAAAAAGGCTTTTATTTAGCTCAACACCGACAGAAGGTAGCTGGCAGTTGTTGAGCCTTCTGTAATCAGACAGATCAACTCAAGAAAACTGTGAGGGTTTCAGGGCTTTTGATAATCTAATAGTGATTTGCCGGTGGCACTGAGATCAATAACACCACTTCCCTATTGCAGCTGCATAGTAACTGCCTCTCTTCACTCTCAAGTGTCACATTTTTACACAAACAATGGTACACCTGCAAGTTGTCACTGCGATAAAGGAAACGCTTTTGTTTCATTGTTATTCTAGGTTGGGCTTTTGTGTTCCCCAGTAACTTTCCCACAACTGAATTGCACTCCCATTTTGAGTTTTTCACATCGCCTCAAAAGAAAAAAAAAAGATGAAGGAACAAATTGAGATCATGGGTCAAAAGCACATATGTCTTCAGCAGTGGGTAGCGTCGAGAGCATCTCTCCAATATGTCTTATCACTCTAACATGATTTTGTCATCTATCCTCTCTTACCCAGCCCTCAGACGAAGAGGAGATTGTCGACCTGATGCTTAAAAATATCTTCGGTGTTTTTGGGATCAGATATGAAGATACAAAAGACACCCGGGGGCCTGATGAGAAAGAGGACGGTGACTTGACCCTGAATAACAGCAAAAATACCCTTAACGGTAGCTAAATTTATGTAAACATTTTTCAGACATCTGACAACTCACTAAACACACTAATATTCACATTTGTTGTTGCTTGTTGTTCTTTGCTTGACTGGGAGATCATCCTGAATTGGGTCCAGTCAGATGGCTGAGAGGACTTTTTCAGAATGCTCTTTCATATTTTTAGGTTGTAGAAAGTCCTCCCTACAAAGAGACGCTATTTTTTATGAAGGGTTTGTAAAACAATATAAAAATGTTGGTTTATACATGGATAACAAAATGCTGAACAATGGTTCAGTCAGAATAACAGATAAAAGGGTAGAAAGAGAGCAACAGTTCAAAAAGAACAGCAATCATTCGTCATTAGTAAAATAAATTGTTAGCTTAGCATCAAAATGTGCGCGGACTGAAATAGGAACAGCTTCTTGTTTTACAATAATGCTTCCTATAGAACAAGCTAGAATTAACAGACATGTTGCTTTAGCAAAGCTCTTCTTCTATCCTTACAACAGAAATAGAAGGTCTAGGTTTAGCACTATTGGAATATCAGCCAAACTTGAACTTACAAATCTAAGTTTAAACCTGCTTAATTGAGTAGACGACCAAAAGAAAGACAAAAATAAATATGTAAATATTTAAAGCCCAATTGCACCATTGCAGTTTAATAATGATCTCGAGTCAATTACACTTTTCTGGACTGAAATACAAATTTAAAGACAAAGGGTATTTGGAGGAAAAAAAAAAGTTTGTGAACGTATTCTCCCCTGTCATACAACACTGTGGGCTCATCAATTAAGTTGGAAGTTTTAACTATTTAATTCTTCTTCTTTTGGGTCCAAAACAAATGCAAATAATACATTTAATGTCTGAACTGATCTGTTTTCATCAATTTATTTGAGCAATTATTGAAGGAAAGAAGAAAATAACAATAAAACAAGTGATTCCAAACCTTTAAGGCAGTGTACCCATCGGTTTGTTTAACTGTAATGCATGTTGAAAAGTATGATTAAAATGTATTTTGTTATATGAGCATTTAATGTGTTATGTTAATTAAAGAGCACCATGGTGATCATGGTTTGTTACTTTTTCAAGTGTGGTTTAATATTAGAGGAAACACTCATTGAGCAGCTACCTTGTCATTACAGCGGAAGATCAACTGCTCTGTTTACAATGCAGTCCAACAGACTTGCATTATTTAAATAAAAAAATAAAAACAGTCTGTAAAAACATTATTACAGCACGATCTGATTTCATGCAGGGCATCGCGTGATAACAGAAGGGCACAGTAAAGTTGGTTACCTTGCACAGTAGTTAGAAGTTTATGCCTGCAGCTCTTCATCTAACTTAGCCTTCCCTTTTCTATCAGTCCATTGAAATTTACACATTTTTTGTGTCTGCTTCACGATGAAGGCAACCTGAACAGGGGTGAACATGTAGACAGTGCAGGCTGTGCTGTTGCACTGGGGCCCATGCAGGATTTGGGGGCCTATAGAGACAGCAGGCCCTCCAACACTGTTTCAGATAGCCAACCCCAAAAATACACCAGTACACACAAATAATTAAGAGACAGCGCCCTTTGCTTTTAATGCCCTGAAAAATGCAAACCCATCTCTGTCATAATTTATTACTTTTCTGTGTGCTTTACCTACACTATAACATTCTTATTTTCAAACTATTTGTAGCCCACCTACTCAATTCAAATTTAGTTCAGGATCTTGAGATTATACTCCTGTTGCATTGGAGGTGAATTGGAGAGGGTAAAATATAGAATTTAGGAATGTGCCTACAATAGCTCAATTTAAACGAATATACTCTGTCTAAGGTGCAGAGAGGCCTGGTTAGCTTATGATACAGCTATACTGTTCTATGAGTTCAAACTCCCATGCATTCCTATGTATCCCTGTTTAACCCTTACTTGCTACGTTGACATACATCACTTTAACACATATTTAACAGTCAACATTTATTTCTCTTCAACATTGTGACCCACATAAACATACAATATAACACACAATAATAATACCCAAAAAGGTGATAGTCAGTGTGACGGTACCAGGACGTTGGCGCGCTTGTTGGAGCTCATTTGAAAACCTTGGGGAACATCTGTGTTGTACTCACTGCTCCTCGGTTACTCAGAGAGCAGCAGGTCTTCTCTCCACAGATCCAACACTTTTACTAGTAGCCTCAACAAGTCCGTCAGTTGAAATCACGGGCAGAAAGTAGCCTGAGAACAGCCCACTTTATTTCTCTTCAGAGCCGCACCGTTATGCTGCGTTCACACCAAACGCGTCGCGAATTATTCGCGCGAGTAGATTACATACAAAGTCTATGCACAGACGCGATGAGACTGTCGCGGCGCGAATCTGCGATGGCGCGTCGCGATGCACGTGAATTTGTGGCGCGATGGACGCGAATCCGCGTCAAACGGCAAATCGCCCCGACGCGCGAGTTGAAATTTTTCAACTTCTGTGAAATATTCGCGTTACACCCCGGCGCGATAGCCTATCTGCGTTGAGTTGCTCCCCCTGTCATCAGCGATGTCCTGCCGTTGCTGAATCAGAAACAATGGAGGAGAAATTAATAGTGGCGCGTCCAGCACGATTGGCGCGATTCACGCGAATTAACACTTGGTCCCTGGCGTTTTGACCGGTGGCGCGATGGACGTGAATATGCGGCGCGACGAATTCGCGACGCGTTTGGTGTGAACGCAGCATTACTCCACGAACCTCCGTGTTGATCCTCGACGGACTGTCCTGTCAGCCTTTTCGTCTCCCCGAAAAGGAAACCTCACCTCTGAAGTTAGAGCTTCCTGTTAAACACTTTTATACTATCCTTTCAGTTATCTTCTATGTATTAACATTGTCCAGTGTCTGTGTTTCTGAAGTTAAAAACAACAGTACACTCTGTCATTCCTCTCAGCTCTTTCTTTGTTTACTTCGCGCGTCCCGGTCATTAGTCCCGCCCCCTTGAGAACCCGGTAGGTTACCCGAGAGTCTCATCAGATTCTTCTGATTGGCTGGCAACACATTTGACACCTAAACAACCAATACGATAAGGACAGGAGAGGTTCAAGGGCAACTCGAACTGTTGGACACATAAATACTTTTCCAAACTATGAACACAAATGCAAAAGTACTGTTTTATAGACATTTAAAAAAACACATGTAAACAAATTAGCCGGGCGCTACATATTCAATTAAATTTCCCATTTTCTTATTTGCTTTGGTATTTTTGTCATATACAGATATTCATTGATGATCGCTGGTCATATTGTCCAAAGTCAAGTCTCTATTTGATCATTTGACGAGACAAATACAATGATGTGTGTGTGTGGGTGTATGCTTCATAACTAACGAGTGTGCACTGGAGCCCGTCATAAGTACCTTACACCACTGCAGCTGAATCCTTCTGATGTGCGACAGTAGGACGTGACGTTAACATTAACAAAACTTAATACAGCTCTGAAACAGTGAGATTGTGGATTGTGAGCAGTGAGGCTGTTATAAACAGGAAGGATATCCAGGCACTCCAAAATAAAAGTACAAGTAACAATGAGAAAGGAAATACTAAAAAGTCTTTATTGTAGTGGTTTATAGTTTAACAAACCTCACCGATGTAGCGGCAGCACATGACCTGGATAAATAACATGACGGGAGAATTGAAAATAATGGAAAAACTCCAAATAGTATCAAATGAAATTACATTGAAAACATTTTTTCATTAAAGAAGATAGGTACCCAGACAAAGGTATTTTTTTGTTTGTTTTGTTTTTCACAGGCAACAGGAAGTCTATATCCTTATTGAGACCAGGATACTATAACAAAACACACTAACTACAACTTTAACACTTTGGACCCTTGGGCAGTCCTAGTATAACCAAATGAACACAGTGTGTATAGTGGCAGTATCTCTCAGATGCAAATCATCGGCACACAGGACAGCTCCTGATGCTCCTGCTTAAGCCCCCAATAAAACCAGTTTACCGACCAGTTGCTTTGCATAACTACAGTGTCTCTCTTGGTAATTAGCATGTCTTTGCAGCCTTGAAATACTGTACTTATAGTTTTCTTTCCCCAAAGTAAGCACTAGATGGCAGTCTAATATAAGCACCGTTTAGTCATCCAAGGATATAATGCAATGCGAATGCACCTGTTTTGAAGGCCAGTTTCTTATGACTGGAGAATCTCTGGAGAGTACTTGTGTAACGCAAACATTTAAACAATATTCCATTTCAAGATCAATTTACCATTGTAAAAATAAATACTTCCATAAATATGTTCATTATTTGAAATGTACCCATTGTTTGGCAGATATTTTTAATAAAAAGAAATGTGGTGGTGTTGGCTAATTGCTGATATAATGGAACTGGGAAACTTTAAAAGCATGAATAATGAAGGTACAATTGCCTAAAGCAATTGTGAAGAATTTTTAAAATTAGATTTAATTGAGTTATATAAAAAAATGCATCAGTGAGGTGAGGAAAAAGTGCACCCCATTGACAATGTTGTGATCCAAAACTCATTACATCTACACCCTCTTCTCACAGAGTCTAATGTGTCAAGTCCTGCAACTTTTCTTATGGCAAAGGCAAAGAAGAAGGCTCCAAGCTTCACGTTAATCCTCTTAAGATTTGTCTCAGCCTATCTATTCTGCTGCTTATGGGTATTTTCCTAAGTAGGTGCCACAGCAGAAGAAGACATGAGTATGTGATAGGACCATAAGAATGGAAGGTAGTAAACTCTGACGTGAAAGCACGTACCGTTCTGCACTGTCGTGAACGAGCAGCAGGAGCTGCCGTGAGCCGCCCCAAAGCAATCACAGGCGGCTACTCCCAGCTGCAGTCAGAGAAGAGAGGAGACGCACTCTCTGCGTATTCATGTATCTGCACTCTGTAGTTAGTGCATTTATAGGTATTGAGCTTCATTTTTACACTAAAAAATAATAACCGTAGCTGTGTTTCAGCTCCAGGACAGCAGTGA